GTATTATTTTGAGGTACAACTGATTTTGGGGAAACATTTGCTTGGGGGTGAAAATGAATTTATAAACATATTTTTTCATCTGCCAGCCTTTCAGAAGCTTTCTCATACCATGCCACCTAGCCTATAAATTGTCTCTATAATAGAGTATTTTTTTGAGGCACAACTGATTTTGGGGAAACATTTGCTTGGGGGTGAAAATGAATTTATAAACATATTTTTTTATCTGCCAGCCTTTCAGAAGCTTTCTCACACCATGCCACTTAGCCTATAAATTGTCTCTATAATAGAGTATTTTTTTGAGGTACAACTAATTTTGGGGAATCATTTCCTTGGGGGTGAAAATGAGTTTATAAACATTTTTTATCTGCCAGCCTTTCAGAAGCTTTCTCACACCATGCCACCTAGCCTATAAATAGTCTCTATAATGAAGTATTTTTTTGAGGTATAACTGATTTTGGGGAATCACTTCTTGGGGTCAAAATGAATTTATAAACATATTTTTTTATCTGCTAGCCTTTCAGAAGTTTTCTCACACCATGCCACCTAGCCTATAAATTGTCTCTAAAATAGAGTATTTTTTTGAGGCACAACTGATTTTGGGGAATAATTTCCTTGGAGGTGGAAATAAATTTTTAAACATATATTCCTATCTGCCAGCCTTTCAGAAGCTTTCTGACATCATGCTACGCGTAGCCTATAAATTGTCTCTATAATAGAGTATTTTTTTGAGGTACAACCGATTTTGGGGAATCATCTCCTTGGGGGTGAAAATGAGTTTATAAATATATTTTGTATCTGCCAGTCTTTCAGAAGCTTTCTCACACCATGCCACCTAGCTTATAAATTGTCTCTATAATAGAGTATTTTTTTGAGGTACAACTTATGTTGGGGAATCATTTCCTCGTGGGTGAAAATGAATTTATAAACATATTATTTTATCTACCAGCCTTTCAGAAGCTTTCTCGCACCATGCCACCTAGCCTATAAATTGTTTCTATAATAGAGTATTTTGTTGAGGTACAACTGATTTTGGGGAATCATTTCCTTGGGGGTGAAAATGAATTTATAAACATATTTTTTTATCTGTCAGCCTTTCAGAAGCCTTCTCACACCATGCCACGTAGCCTATAAATTGTTTCTATAATAGAGTATTTTTTTGAGGTACAACTTATTTTGGGGAATCATTTCCTCGTGGGTGAAAATGAATTTATGAACATATTTTTTTATCTGCCAGCCTTTCAGTTAGCTTTCTCGCGCCATGCCACCTAGCCTGTAAATTGTTTCTATAATAGAGTCTTTTTTTGAGCTACAACTGATTTTGGGGAATCATTTCCTTGGGGGTGAAAATGAATTTATAAACATATTTTTTTATCTGCCAGCCTTTCAGAAGCTTTCTCACACCATGCCACCTAGCCTATAAATTGTCTCTATAATAGAGTATTTTTTTGAGGTACATCTGATTTTGGGGAATCATTTCCTTGGGGGTGAAAATGGGTTTATAAACATACTTTTTATCTGCCAGTCTTTCAGAAGCTTTCTCACACCATGCCACTTAGCCTATAAATTGTCTCTATAATAGAGTATTTTTTTGAGGTACAACCAATTTTGGGGAATCATTTCCTTGGGGGTGAAAATGAGTTTATAAACATTTTTTATCTGCCAGCCTTTCAGAAGCTTTCTCACACCATGCCACCTAGCCTATAAATTGTCTCTATAATGAAGTATTTTTTTGAGGTATAACTGATTTTGGGGAATCACTTCTTGGGGTCAAAATGAATTTATAAACATATTTTTTTATCTGCCAGCCTTTCAGAAGTTTTCTCACACCATGCCACCTAGCCTATAAATTGTCTCTAAAATAGAGTATTTTTTTGAGGCACAACTGATTTTGGGGAATAATTTCCTTGGAGGTGGAAATAAATTTTTAAACATATATTCCTATCTGCCAGCCTTTCAGAAGCTTTCTGACATCATGCTACGCGTAGCCTATAAATTGTCTCTATAATAGAGTATTTTTTTGAGGTACAACTGATTTTGGGGAATCATCTCCTTGGGGGTGAAAATGAGTTTATAAATATATTTTGTATCTGCCAGTCTTTCAGAAGCTTTCTCACACCATGCCACCTAGCTTATAAATTGTCTCTATAATAGAGTATTTTTTTGAGGTACAACTTATGTTGGGGAATCATTTCCTCGTGGGTGAAAATGAATTTATAAACATATTATTTTATCTACCAGCCTTTCAGAAGCTTTCTCGCACCATGCCACCTAGCCTATAAATTGTTTCTATAATAGAGTATTTTGTTGAGGTACAACTGATTTTGGGGAATCATTTCCTTGGGGGTGAAAATGAGTTTATAAATATATTTTGTATCTGCCAGTCTTTCAGAAGCTTTCTCACACCATGCCACCTAGCTTATAAATTGTCTCTATAATAGAGTATTTTTTTGAGGTACAACTTATTTTGGGGAATCATTTCCTCGTGGGTGAAAATGAATTTATAAACATATTTTTTTATCTGCCAGCCTTTCAGAAGCTTTCTCGCGCCATGCCACCTAGCCTGTAAATTGTTTCTATAATAGAGTCTTTTTTTGAGCTACAACTGATTTTGGGGAATCATTTCCTTGGGGGTGAAAATGAATTTATAAACATATTTTTTTATCTGCCAGCCTTTCAGAAGCTTTCTCACACCATGCCACCTAGCCCATGAATAGTCTCTGTAATAGAGTATTTTTTTGAGATATAAATCATTTTGGGGAATCATTTTTTTCTGGGTGAAAATGAAGTTTTATTTAAATTTTTTATCTACCACCTCTTTAGAGATTTTCTCAGTATATGCTATTTAGCTCATTAATTACTTTAAATACCATATATACAATAATCCGTAAGTGAAAATTCGAAGAAAGGTTTTGGGTTAACTCTTGTTCCTGCGAATTATTTAATTGGGGTGGAAAATGATTCTTCCTATAGGGGTGCTTATTCTCGTGCATAAATATTTATTGTTGCGAGCTGTTAGCTGTATCCTTCACAATCACAGTCTGGTCGAGGATGTCGACGCCACTGGTCATTCGGGTATCTTGGGCAAATTGTCTGCTAAGTTTTGTCTGCCAACTGCACACCGGTATATGTACATTCATGCATGACGTGGAGGGCTAAGGGCTTTCTTGTGTGAATGATGAGATCACAACCAATGAAAATAAAAACTTTCAAATTTTATTCAGGTGATTTCTTATTTTGATTGGAAAATGTAATTTACAAAATAAAATTTTAGATTTTTTTGCTACCAGATTTGTCACGACACAGTTATATAAAGTGCAATTTCTTTCTTAAATTTTATGTCGAGACATTTTTAAATTCAATTAATGTAGTTTAGTAGATCTATGTTCACCTGCGCTAATTCAAATATTTAATGTATACAAGGAAACAGTTTACTATAATCTAGGTTTAACTGTACTAGTTAAACGTATTCAATAGATACTAGTAAACAGTTTACTAGAGTCACGTGAGCTCATTAATTTGAAATAAATTTGTTTAATAAAGCTAAGTATATTAATAGTGTACTACTACCAACAGATGCTCTTTATTTAATTAAACTAGTTTATTTAAATTAAGTGAGCAAATTCTTTTAGTCTACAAGTTTTACAAATTCAATTGAACTGTTTTAGGAATCGGAGTTTATTATAAACAAATTAAACTTGTTAGCAGTCACATACTTGCACACATTTTTTTATTTTATTAACTTAAATGTTCTATTCAGTGCATTTTACTCATTTCTATTAGTCTGTCTGTCTATTTGTCCACCTATCTCTCTATAACTGGGAAAGTACCACTGGATTGTGATGCATTTTGACAGTTACTACAATATCAAGAACGAAACAGCTTTGCAGGTTTTGTAAATCTATCCGATAGCAGCGGTGCTTCGAATAGAAATCAAAAAAAATTGTTAATACGTTTTTTCGAATTTCAGGGACTCATGTCCAATTTTGATTTTTTTTTGAAATGTCAAAAATTGGTAGTAGGAGTTTAAGTTTTGGCAGGGAGTTAGGTATATTTAAATGCTTCCTACTCCGGCACTCTCGCACCTCTTAGACATATTTCACTCATAGTTTTCAGTTCAGGGAGAAAGAAGTTGGTGATCATGTCGACGTAGCGCTCTGAGTTCACGGTAACATCACGACCATTACCGTCTTCGAAGAAGTAAGGGCCAATGATGCAAGTTTGTGATACAGCGCGCCAAACCGTTACTTTTGGGCTGTGCAGCGGTCTTTCGTGTAACTGTTGCGGATTTTCATTAGCCCAATAACGACAATTCTGCTGGTTAACCATGCTGTTTAGGTGAAAGTGGGCTTCGTCACTCATAAACAAAATCAGGTTCTCATTTGGATCGATCAGTGCTTCCATCCCACGTGCGAAGTTCATTCGTTGTGCATAATCTCCGGGCTGTAACTGTTGCACAATCGCCAATCTGTAGGGGTGAAAGCGGAGATCCATATGCAAAATTCGCCTTACCCAACGATCACTAAGGCGAAGTGCAGCAGCATGTTTCCGGGCAGATCGAGTCGGATTGCGAAGAAAGACCTGTCGAACGCGTTCAACATTTTCAGGAGTTCGAACTGTTCGCGGCGCTCCTCTTGGTCTTCTGTTGATCGGTTCACCACCAGGGAACAGCTCTATTCCGATGAATGTTGAAGTGGCGACGAAACTCACGCTGTACGACGAAGACTGACTCATTATTTCGGACGAAACAATCATAGCCGAAAACGCGGTGCTCCACCGTCCAAGGCTCCATAACGACAACTGGTAAAATAATGCTAGGATCTCACGAGTCCAACGGCACCCTCCCCACCTCTCTCGTAGACGGAGGCGGAGAGTACTACCCATCCCAAAAACGTCCGCCCTCTCTGCCGCACCCTGTACATAATAGTACCCATTTCAATATTCAATTCGTCCATTGACTGATAGGATTATAGACCTATATTATTCATAATATATTTTTGCAGGTGGGTGATATGAAAGATGAACTGTTGAAAAACCAAGACATGAACGTGATAGTGGTGGACTGGGCAGGAGGCAGTCTACCTTTGTACACCCAAGCTACTGCAAATACAAGACTAGTAGGGCTCGAAGTAGCTTATTTGATCAACTACCTTAACGTAAGTATTGTTATTTTATATATTGTATCATCAAGACCAACAATTTTACTGGAGTTCCTTGAATAACTGGGACACAAGTTATTGTTTTTGCTTTTTCACTAGTGTATTTTGCAAAAAGAAATTCGTACATTGAAAGAAAAGCTGAAATTTGCATTTGAAGTTTGGATAGTAAGTTTTGTCGCTTCTATTTCATAAAAAAAACAGTGAAAAAATAACATACTTTTTAGTGGTTAAACACGGATATGCCGTCGAATTTAACTCAAATACTTAATAACAAAAAGTACTCTGGTCAAACGACAACGCTATTTGAATGCATGTACATTATCGATCATCCTCAGAAGTTGTTTAGACTTACATATAATATGTATGAACCACAAGCAATGCGAAAAATACGTATTATATAAGAAAGCCTCATTTTATAGACATAAGAGTTCGTTTTTCGTCGAACTTCACGGAATCCGCAATATTTCATATTTTGAATAAGCCTTATACGAAAAACACAACGTTTGTTATATTAGTTCTAATACGAGTTTAAACACTGTAAAAAATCTGGAGCCGCAAAGAAGAGTCAGATCTTATCAACGAGTTTGAATATGTTTTCATTGCATTGAATGTCGCTAAATTGCGTAGTTTCAGTGGATACTTTTGACTCATTTGACTAACAATGCCTACCAAAATGACAGCGTTCTAGCAACGAAATGTTAATGCTTACCGGTGGAAACACCTTCATTAGGCTTGTGCCGCTATTTGCAAATTATATAAGAACCATTTATTGAAATCCTCTAACATCACAATTAATTATCTGCGAATACTCGCACTTTTGGAATATAACACTAAAAATAGGAATTTGATGACAAAACTATCAAAAAATTTACTTATGTCAAGTGCACTTTGATTGTCATTACATACTATGAGAATTAAGAGACAAATCTTTGACTCGCTCCTTCTACCTAGTCTGAATTCGATGGATCATATGTACCTAAATAGTCGTATCGAGATTATAAAAAAGCATTTTGAAGCTCTACGATTCTAGTTTTCAGGTTTTCTCATGCAATTCTAACAGATAGCGCAAGCAGAATGTTTTGCAAAATTTCTGACTTGTTTTAGTCCATGGGCTTCAAAAAGGATCCTTTTCTCATCGACCACCGATATCTCGGAAACCAGTGGTCGGCCAAAGAATGTAAGGGTATTTTTGAAAACTGGAGGAAAACTCCAATAAAATTTGATTTCAATCTCTGAGGAATTTTTTTTGTTTACTTAGTATTGATTTCAAAAAATTTAAAATAAGTAGTTACTTTTGCCTTATTTTGGAAAATCTACCGCATTTTTGGAACTGTCAATGTATACCTTATAACCCTGAATGACGGCAAAACGATCCATTGTACGGCTTCTCGGGACCAACTGGTAAAAATTTGAAAGAAATCAAAGGAGCAAAACTTTTGGATAACTGTAACATCTTCAATTTTAAAAAAGCGGTTCGAAAACATTTAAGATCTACTCCAGTACTCCAGTAAAAAAGATCATTTTTCATTCAAAGTCAGATATCTCCGCGCCAAATGATCGTATCGAGATTTTGAAAACATAATATTGAAGCTGAATAAATGGCATAACAGAAAAATAAATTGCAAGCCCGTGGACTTGCACCTAAAATGTTTCGGTTTAAAAGCCTGAAAACTAGAATCTCAAAGCTTGAAACGATTTTTGTCTAGATACGACCATTTTCACAGAAATACAGCCTTTCAAAAATCACCGATGGATTTTTTTCTTGCTCCCTTAATTTTTTCGAGTAATGTACATAAATCTATACAGTTTGTCCACTGTTCAGTGGTACTTATGCCCTCTCCAGACTCCAATTCGCGTATTCTTCGCGGCTACAAGTCGCGTTCGCGCGTTATTCCCGTTTGTTGTCGGTTTTTTGTCCCGCGACAAATGGTTCGCAAGGCGCGGACATGACTACACTCCTCATTCGCTGGTGTTTCAGTTACCTCATACCGAGTGCCGAGAATGGTTATGTTTTTTCCTCTCATTTTCAATTGCTCTAGTTTTACTTATAATGCGTAATTATAAATTGCCAAAGCGCAAAGTAGCCCTGCAGCAGCAGTAGCAATTTCACCATCCATACTCGTCAATAGCGCGAACTATACTGTGAAGCACAAAACACATAAGACTGAAGAAGTGCGCCGGGAGATAGGAATGCTAGGAATGTGCCGAGGATGTAGTTTGTTTACAATTTAAAATCTGTTGAAAGTGATATTTCCCATATTGAAGAAATATTTTATGAGCATAGACACATAAAATATCCTCAATAAAGGAAATACCTGATTCAGCAGTTTTGCTGGTAACCAATTTTGGCATAATAAAAAATAAATGCGTAATTAATAAAATATTTATTAAATAGTTAAATATATGAACACTAATAAGTAATAATTTATCATCACAGTACATTGACAATATAGAAAGGTATTTTTAGACACCCGGAGCTTTCTCTATATTATTAAGTGAATAAGTGACGTTCCAAAAAAATACAAATCATACATTAGTAGCATTAAAAATGCTAAAAAGGTACCCTCAGCAATCAAATGAAGTGTTTAGCAAGCACTACATATTGTTAATCTATCATGAGGTGTAAGCACTGTATCATAGCTTTGGACATATTTATCCAAAAATTCACTGAAATCGACCAAAGTGTCACAAAAATCGATTTCACAATTACCTTTAGAAAAGGTGTGCTGTAATTATTAATAACTACTGTTTTTAAGGCAGCAACAACTGACGACAGGTGGGATTTGCATTGAAGATACCATGCTATCTTACTTAACCAAATAAATTTTCCAGGGAATCTTGGTTTAAATTTCTCAAACAAAGATATTTAAGATCCCTCCATAGTGACATAACAGATCTAATTGTTATTTTCCAGCCTTCAACAAATTTGAAATAGTTTGATTTGTCAACCCCAGCGACAATGAAAATTGATTTTAATTTGGATAGCCTTCAGCAAACATTCCGGTCTTTATACATAATTAATTCCTTAGAGCTCAATTCCTTCTTTGATGTACCAGATTTTGTCAATATATATATATATATATATATATATATATATATATATATATATATATAAATAATTAGATTCTGTACTATAACCACTTCCACTGATTTCAATGTTTTGATCTTCCAGAATAACACTGGAATTTTCATTTTGCTCAGAAGGGGTTGGATTTGTGGTAGCCTCTCCAGAAGTAGGGTCATTTAATAAAACTCTAGATACTGAACTGAGACCTGGTTTGGTAGGATGACTATTATTTGAATTTAAAACTGTAATGGGGGACACTGGTATGGTAAGATATCTGAGACGTGAAGGATCTTGCGGATTATTACGATCAAACATTGAAAAATGATCCTCACAAACATAATAATTGGAAACTTTACGAGTGGGAGATATGTTACAAGCTGCCTTCAATGCAGCAACAGTTTATGCATCTTTTGGCAAACGATGGAATAATTTGTTTTTGTATATACAAGCAGTTTTACGAACAATGTGGAAATAGGAATTTTTGCAAGAGTACTTTAAAGTAGCGATGCACGAAGAGGCAACCCCAAATCCAGACATGACCGATTTACAAAAGAAAAACAAGCTTATTGAAGTATGCAATCTTAAGTATTCCTGCACACAATCACAAGTGTTTTACATTGAAAAATATATGACAAAGCTTATTAGTACTAGTATTATATGAAGATTATGAACGATAATTTCTCGATTGAGAATTAAATCAATAATTAAAAATTTAATATGTAGCTTACCCGAATCAAAACACAGATTGAAATCAAAATGGAAGTTCCCAGGGAAAGTCAAACAAATGGTCGTTTGTCAAAAATCAAACTCTGTTGGTAAGAAAGTGTCCTAGATTTTGGATGGAGATTTATGTGTTTTCTGCCTCGAGAGAATGACCTTGGTGTTGCCAGTTCGACCATAAGACGTTTCACCCCCCTGCTGTGAAGCAGGCGCGAACATCTGCGAACTGTAGGAACAAATTTCGGGATTCGCACCGCGGTCCGCGCCGCGATTTCACCCCGTGATCCGCGCGAGAGTCTGGAGAGGGTATTATACTCTGCTGTACCACTTATCTGAATAGGATTTCACTTTTTAAAAGCTCCGGTGTTTCAATTAATAACATATGTATGTTCCAATGGTCTACTCCAGTAAGTAGTAAATAAGGATAGTGATGATATAAATTGCCACACTCAACCTAACACCGAGTTTTGACACTGACAACATTGAAAAGCGTCATGAACCTAATTTCTTCACTTGAATATCTGTGTGATAGCGATCTTTGCACGGAGTGTATTTATGATTTATTTACATTTCTCTTCCGGTTAAGTCATTATACCTTGTAGAATATGTTATATAACAATACGACATTACATGCATAATAAAGCATCTAGTCCATTTCCCTGAACTTTGTGGAATTATATATAATATAATATTATTCAAGTAGAAAGCCAAAAAAAGGCAAACGAGTGAACCAAAATGCAGGTCAATCGAAAAATTAATGATGATGTTATTCTCACTATGTTGTTGGCACACTTTCGATTCGCAAAAAATTATGCAATTCGATCAATGTAGCAATTTTCAATTCTTTCCTAATTGGTTGATCGACATACCGTGCCTTGGCGTCCACCAAGGACTGGTATTTTGTTTACAATCAGTGAATTTTTGCGACGGTCACCTACAAGTAACGGGGTAACATTTCCGTCGCGCCAAACGATGAAATTATGCAGATGCAGATAATGATGAATACAAACATTATTTAAAACATTTAGGTCGTGTTAAGTTGACCCAATATAGCTTTCGGTATTGTTTTATTTCAGTTTTAAAAATGTGCCTTATACAGGAGGCGCTGCAATGCAAAGTGTAGGTACCGCATAGCAATCAACTTATCAATTGTAGGATAACTGCAAAAATCATATAGAAATAAATATCGTAAAATGTATACTCATCAAAAATTTCAAAATATTTTTGGATAACCTTTTATTTCCGACTCTTACTAGCGAGGAAGTATTGTAATTGCGAAAAAAATCAAAAGTAAGATATTATGTTCTTTTGATGTTATGTGACATGTACTTCACGAAAAACCATGTCACTGACACCTGTCGGTCTGTCTGTCCGATAATCTTTGGCCCGTCTAAAGCTTTGAAAGTACTATTCGGATTTTGGTGCAATTTGTACACAAGATAACTACTTTACCAAGGACGTAGGTTTTAAAAATCGGTCCAGTAGCGGCGGAGCTGCAGCTGAAGAAAATAAAAATCGCCGTGCGCTACGGTGTTGTAAATGTGTATTGCATTTTTGACATCAGTCAAAGACGTTCTATTCTTAAGCAGCCTCTGATACCGGTAATATTACGCATCTATTAGATATAATTGCAGTACACATCTATGCATTTGAATATTCATTGGGCCAGAAAATAATATAGGCATGTGAACGGTAGTCAATGAGGTAGACTCATAAATACAGGAAGAAGTTAGCGACGCTACAGTGCACATGCGAGGTTGGTGATGGGATCTATAGAGTTTTTCAAATCCCCCTCTACTTATTTTTTGAACGGACCAGGTTAGCAAGCTGAAATTTGTGGTAGTTAAATTGATGCTGGGATACTATATTTGACAGCAAAAGTGACAGTTAATAATTCCAAGATGTCGACTGGGCGCCATTTTGGAACCTTTTTTTTAATGAAATAGTGGGTCGTGTGATACCTTATTTTGAAGCTCCTTATGATTACTTTATAACCTTAGAATATGAGATCACTCTTTCAAAATGGCTTAATGTCAAAGCTGATTGTGTTTGTTCATTGAATCGCTTATAGCTTTACAACTAATCATCAAAATGTTATAGTTTTATATCATTCTTATCCTTTGTAAGGGTCATTATAAATATGCAATACAATATGGAACATTCAGACTAAAAAAAAATGACAGATTTTAATTAAGATATTCCATATTCTATTAGATATTTAAACAGACCCCTCCAAGAGAAGACGATGGATATACTACATCCTTCTGGTGATTGGTTTTTGAGCTATAAATGACTCAATATACAAAAATGCCCAACTTTCACAGCATGCCAGTTCAGCATTTTCGAGGATAGTGATTTTATATTCTAGGATTACAGAGTACTCATAAGAAACTACAAAATGGCATCCAGTTGCATCTTTAAATTTTCAACTGCCATTTTAACGCTAAAATATAGCTTCCATGCATCAATGTCATTTCCCCGAATTTTAGCTTGCTAACTTGACTTGCTCAAAAAATAAGCAGGGCGTGGAACCTTTTTAATAAGCAATACGTATGAGTGTTATGCTTGGAGGTGTATTTCGTGAGGAGTTTTATAAGTATAGTATATATAGCATATAAGGACATATCAAGAGGTATTATCATCACTTATCAAATATTGTCGACAGACTTACACGAGGGCTCTAAAGAAATAAGGTTACCATGTGCGGACATGCTCATTGCTGCGATATCAGGAATGTTTTTAGGGAAAAGCTTAAATAGTGCGTTGAAGGTTCTGAGAAAACCTGCGCCTTTTTGATGCCACCGTGTAGATTAAATTGTTCCACATCAAAAATTGCATTAGAAGCGTTTCGAAGGCGTGGAAATGTTATATGTACTTGACGCCATTTTCTAAATGCCATTGGACTGTTTCTGACCAATTTGAGGACAGTAATGCTGGTAGACATAAAATCCATGTTCGTTACGTGTTCGAACACACCAGTCGGCTAAGTCAAAAAATGTTTTAGAATTGATTAGATATGTACATTCAAACATTTTCAACAGCGCTCTAACGTGACTTAAGATACTTTTTTACACCATACAAAAAATTCTCCAAATTGTGTTTGTTTTTTTTTATTGTCAGTTTGATAGTTGTTTTATGTTGAACTTGATTCGAGCAATACAAGATCAAATGACGTAGTTTTATTGATTACACTTCCAGAAAAATTACGAAGTGAACGCTAAAGACATTCACATCATTGGACATTCTCTAGGAGCACACACAGCTGGTTATGCGGGAGCTTCGGTTCCAGGGCTGGGTAGAATAACAGGGCTTGATCCTGCTGAGCCTTACTTCCAGGTATTTCACGTTTAATTTAGTTGCTGTTAGATAAAGTGTTGTTAAGATTTAGAAATTAATAATTAAAGCGTTCCAGTACCGTCAGTAATGCGTGGTAAAATAATGGCCATTTGGTGATAAACAAATCGTTCTTAACTGACCATAATCTACCGTAAGACGTAAATTGTGAGATGGAAGTCTTATCACATAACAGCATCTTTAACTGTTTCCAGAACCTAATAAAATGATAGTCATATCGTCGGTCTCCGCACATACCGGCGTAACTAACATTTTACAAATTTTACAGGAGAGCTAGAAAACGAAAGTCAGCAATGAAGATTGAAAATGACATACTATTTTTTTGTCTTCTCGTTGGTGTTTCCTTTTTGGACAAAAATTATGTAGAACTTTGTTTTGGGATGGTTTAATTTTGTAAAAGTGGAATGAGTTTAAAAAAAAATATATTTTTTTGTACATTTATGCCACTTAGTGACGACTCTTGTTTCTTTTATTGTGTAGTTATGCCAACAAACTGGACATGGGTATCAAAGTAACGAGACTGCTGTTTCAAAAATAAATTCTCTACATAATATTATAAGTACAAACAAAAAGTAAATCCTAGAGGAAGTTTAACCTAAAATACAAATTGCATTATGAAAATAATGACAGTCTTCAAACTTTAAATTATGTACTTTTAAAAGTTGAACTGATTTTTTATTCTTCCTGGAGCAGAGAGTGGTAAAATTGTTGCAATTGAGAAATACGGATAACTGGAGTTTCTCCTTTGCAAAAAGATATGAGATCCTCATATTTTTTCTCTGATATCTTAGCAAGTCCTTCATTCAATGGTTTTAACGGCAAGTTACCTAGGCCGCCCTTAATTCGCTGTTTCAATACTAACCTATCATAATGGTGGTAATAGTGTCATAGGTTCATTTTGTTTTACCATTATTTCCATCATGTCTGTCCATTTTATTTTATTTGCTAGTTCACTCTTTTACCGCTAACATTTGTAGTTCTTTGGAGAATGATTTGAAATAGAGAAATTCACTATAATTTTTTGGAATGACCGTATAGGGCTGTTTAGATCTAGCAAAACGTATTACAGGATGTACCTGAGACGGAATAAAGAGATCACCGGCATTCGTGATGGCAAGACCGATGGCACTGTGGGCTGAATCTCCCTCATTCTGACCTTGATTAGTTTAAAAAAAAGCAGATTTTACATATTATTAGAGAGACTTGCGCCGGTACGTGCTCTATAATTACACTGATCAACAGCCAAAAAATATCCTAAATAAAATCAACAAAATATTACTATTTTTAATGTGCTAAAACCGGAATGAAACTTATTTTTTCAATATTAGTTCAAGTTTTAGAGATACGGTAATTATATGTGTTCCTGCTGTAACAGTGTTAATATACTGTAATTCACAAGAATGCACGTGCTACATTTTTATATTCGGTAAGGAAAGATAATGTAATCGGCATGATTGTGTTACGTTATACATACGTGTACATTATATTGTTTTATATTAGCCATTTTTTCCTCAGTTGGCTGACAGCGTTCATGCAAGATGTCTCGAAAGTGTGTAAACAATCAAGATCAGTTTTGTTACGTGTGTGGTGATGTGACTTTTGCGTCTCAGAGTCGGTCTATTACTCCACTAATAACAAAGGCATATCAGCTTTATTTCGGTTGTAAACTAGGTGATCAAGACAAACAGTGGGCACCCCACATCTGCTGTAATACATGTGCTTCAAGTCTGAGGAGCTGGTTAAATGGCAAAAAACGGTCTATGCGCTTTGCTGCCCCAATGGTTTGGAGATAGCCTACAAATCATTGTGTCATGGTACCTTGTGTTGGACAAGCCACAGGTATGTCCAAGAAAAAAAAAAAAAATTAACTACTCAAATATCTGCGACGAGACCTGTGCCTCACAGTAACGAAAATCCCCAGAATCCTACACTTGCGAATCAGAAAACGAATCAGATCATGGCGATCGAGTGATACGTCAGGAAGAAGATATGCCATCAACGTCAAGAGATCCTGATTTTATACCAAGCACGTCATGCCACCAACCGCACAAAATAACACAGTCAGAATTAAATGATCCTGTAAGAGATTTAGAACTTCCAAAATGTAAGGCAGAGTTACTTGGATCAAGACTGCAGCAGTGGAACTTGTTAGAAGACGATGTTTCGGTATGTGTTTTTCGTAAACGCCACAAAGACTTAGAACCATTTTTCAATATGGAGAATAACTTGGTTTTCTGCAGTAACATTAACGGCTTACTGGCGGCTTTAAATATAAACTATAACCCAGAAGAATGGAGATTGTTTATAGACAGTTCAACATTGAGTTTAAAGGCAGTGTTATTGCATATTGGAAATATTTTACCATCTCTTCCTGTAGGGTATGCAGTTCACATGAAAAAATCATATGACAATATGAAGTATTTTACTTGGGCTGCAGCTAGGCTACACAAAATTTTGCTGTTTTTTGTGTGAATGGGACAGTCGGGCAAAGGCCACTTCATTACACCAGACAAAACTGGCCTGTTCCTCAATCCCTAGAGCCAGGTCAAAAAAATGTACAGCATATGCCATTAGTAGATTCGAAAAAAAATTTATTACCACCACTGCATATCAAGTTGGGCCTAATGAAAAACTTTGTCAAGGCATTAGATAGAGATGGGTCAGCTTTTCAATACCTGCGTCAGAAATTTCCAAGACTAAGTGAGGCAAAGGTTAAAGAAGGTATTTTTGTTGGGCCACAGATTCGAAATACTTTGAAAGGTACACAGTTTGAAAACACTTTAACAGGTATTGAAAAAACTGCTTGGAATGATTTCCGTCTGGTGGTCACTAATTTCTTGGGAAATAGAAAAGCTGACAACTATAAAACCTTTGTCAAAAATATGCTGTCATCGTATCAAAAGATGGGCTGTAATATGTCTCTTAAGATACATTTCCTACACTCACACCTGGACTTTTTTCCTGACAACTGCGGAGCCGTAAGTGATGAGCACGGCGAATGTTTTCATCAGGCTATTTCAACAATGGAAAAAAGATACCAGGGAAAGTGGTATCCTTCCATGCTTGCAGACTACTGTTGGACTCTTGGTAGAGATGCTCCAGAAACGATCCATAAAAGAACAGCAAAAAGACAGCGCATATAGTGATTCTTATAAGTATATGAATCTTGTTACTTTTTTTAATATATCCTTAAAAATAAAAAGTTTTTTTTCTAAACCGCAACTAGTTTTTTTATTTCATTGTCATTTTTGGACTCAGCGCCCCAAAATTAACAAAGAAGTGCACTTTTCCCACAAGATACAATTAAAAAACTAAAATTTGTTGTCCAGTGTTATCGGTCAAATACAGAAAACCAGTTTTAACGCAGAGGCGTAAATCTATTTAAGCCGGTACGTGAAAATTGTTTTAGGAATTTTAAAATTTATGCAATATTTTAAGAATTTTATTTCCAAGTTGCGAACTGATATACAGATACGTCACTTCGTGAAGTGAGAGACTACAAGAAAATATGTGAAATTAGGCGTAACTCGATTTAAGATTTTTTTTGTCATTTACGCCTGTACGAGCGGAGACCGACGATATGTTCCGGCATGATGTGGTGTGAAATATGTTACGCTTCTTGTTTTTATAGGGAATGCCTGCGCATGTAAGACTAGACCATACCGATGCAGATTTGGTTGATGTCATACACACTGATGGAAAAGGCATATTTTTCCTAGGTAAGTAACAGGGGTTGCTCCGAAGTTAAAAGGTTGTAAAGTTGGCATAGTTTTACATCTCCCAATAAGCCCAAGTGGATATGCAGCCACTGCAAGTCTATCTAGGGAACCATTCGAAGAGCAGGGAGTTATGTGTACATATACTTACTTTAGTTGCAGTGTTACCTTTTCATGCTATTTTCCCACATAAGCGATCACTTGAACGGCAAACGTTGCGTTAGTTTATAACGCAATGCTCAAAGCTCTCTATTATCCCAGAGGCCTTAGGGCCTCCTAATAATGCAATAAGATGCTTCATTTATCGACGGCTTGCTGTCTAAATCCATCGTTGACTGACAAAAATCTGCACAAGGTTGCAAAGAAGAATAGTGAAATGTGCCTGTAGGAAACACTAATCTTAATTTTTACAACTTGAATGTTGGTCGGCACACATTAGTTTTTTACGCTTTCTTTCCTCACAATGGGGCATATCCTGATGTAACAGTTGCTTTATTGACTTTTAGGTTACGGAATGTCTCAGTCTTGTGGACACCTGGACTTCTACCCAAACGCCGGTAAAGAGCAACCGGGTTGTGACATCACACAAACCCCACTTGTACCGCTTACTCTGATAAGGTAGATAATTTGAAAATATTTCGCTTCGTTATTTTAATCAAACTTGTGCAACATCATAGGGATGGACTTGAAGAGGCCTCAAGGGTTTTGGTGGCATGCAACCATGTAAGAGCTATAAAATTGTTCATTGATAGTATCAACAGTAAATGTCCGTATATAGGTAAGTATATTTAAAAACCATCAAATGATAAACTTCAGAGAACTAGAAGAATCTAAAAACTGGGCTAATAGCAAGTATTGAAAATACCTCACTGTAGTATATGGACAGAACATAATCTCAAACTTTCATACCTGACTGATTTTTACATTAAAAAAACACCAGTTTCGTCAAGCTAGGTTATGGAACAAAGTACTCAATTTTCCATAATAATTAACATTTTGAGTAAAAATGTACGTCTGAAGCCGTAATGTGAGACTTGCTGCTGGAATAACTTCGATAATTACTGTCATTTGAATATATATTGTATATCCACAGGCCTAACATTAGAGCTGAAGCTGAAGCTGAATTTTTGTTGTAGCACATGCTTGTCCAAGTTACACCCAATTCAAAGAGGGTAGATGTTTCACCTGCAAATCGCCTACGTCTTGTGCTATAATGGGTTTGCATGCTGATTCCACCCCAGGACTAATAGAATCTAATGACATACAGCCACTATCCAAAAAAGAAGAAATGATAGGCAACAGATATTTCCTGTCTACAGGAAAGGATTATCCATATTGCCGTAAGTACTATCTGCGGTCTAACCCATTTGACCTTCAGCGTTCATTCGGAAAATGAGTTATTTCATATAACAAACAGAACTGTATTCAACTGCTTCTGATAAAAATTTGATGTTGGAATTGACTGTTAAGTTCATAACATTTTTCTATTTCAGATCGGACCTACCGTATAACCATCGAGTTAGCAAGGCCCAATCATGCCGAGAGCTGGGTTCAAGGACACCTGAAGGCCGCGGTGCACAGTCAGAACGCTGTGATTTATGTTGATCTAACGCCATCTGGTGACGCAAAATTGGAACATGGTGCCAGGTACATGAAACACTTTGGTGTTATTACTTCATTTAACTCAATCATAGAACAAGTATACTGCAAATGACAATCATTCTACATTTTTGATTTAATATTATCCTCAGGGTTATTACATGTAGGGGATACGAAACTTGGTCCGTCCGTTATCGGTGAAAATTCCGTATGGCCTGTCCAAATGACATTTACGGTACGTCATAACAAGCACGGCTACTGGCCAAGAGTAGAAAGACGATTCGACGTTCCGCACGGATATTACGTATCTTGAAAAGTGACATTATGTCAATTTTTTTACATTATATCGGTTTTTTATGACATTATGTACTTAGCACTAGTTGATGGACCCATTGTGAACTCGTTTTGTAGTTGTACGTGTTGCCTAAACGTCATGAGACTTCAGTTATCAATGTTCGGCTCCGATGTGATGCAAAACTGCTTCAGAGATGGCACGGCATTACTGGAGGTAACGGCAATGCATAGGTGCATAGTGCGGATTTGTGTGCTAATAATATGTGTTGATGATAATTCCATTGGATTCTTGTCTCAAATACACTTACTTGAGATCCAAAGCTAGAAATTAGTTGCGCATCCACTTTTTCTTGTCCATCCTGGAAATTACATAGGTATGCAAATTTTCTGAATTTAAAAAATGAGAGAGATAAGAACTAATTATATTCACTGTACTCAAGTCATATACATGCTAACAGTAATTGCGCGGTGGTTTCCCGTAATTCTCCTGTTTTTGAAAATACAAAAAATCCTGAAAAATCGTAATTTATAATTTTGAACATAACCTCTTCAGAAAGGACAACATATAAGTAACAGCACAGCTGACAGATATACTTCGTTGGCAGCATATTCAATAATGATTTGCCCTCACAGCAAATATCACTGACTGACTGACTCAGAGATGAAAACTATAGACTACTGGGCTTCACAAAACATATGTAACCAACAATGCATGTAGTGGTGCAGTTGAGCCATTCCTCCATAGTCCATCTATACTCACAACGATACTAGTCAGCAAACGTGGAATGACTGTTTGCACCCTAAAAACTACCTAGTCTGCAAGATGACATTTCATAGATTTTTTTACATAATACCCGTGCCGGATTAATTTAGTTTTGACGCGCTGTATGAACAGAGGCTTAATACATGCCAGAAAATGATTAACAGATTAGGTCTTTAAAAGTACCATAATGATTTCAGGTATACAGCGATAGCTACCCATCCAGTTGATCTTGCAGGAAATGTAAAGAAAGTCGAATTAAATTGGGAATATGATATGAATGTCCTAGAACCAAGAACGTTATGTCTATTTTGGTGCAATGATCATTTGTACGTTAGAAATGTCGTTGTCGAGGAAATGGAAATGCCAGGACGGGGGTAAGTGTGTATAGTAAGAAATCGGAATCGAGGTGCACGTTCATTGGGGGGAAGAGGAGCGAAAAGAAGGGACGCGAAATTTTTCCGCCTGGGTTCCGTTACACATAATCAAATAACAGCACTTACACTTCAGTGACGGGAAGGGAGACGACATGTGCGAATGGCAAATGACGTCGCAGTTCCTTTCGCGTCGCTTTTACTCAATGTGCGAGCACGTCTATACCATGTTTATCATTGCTTGTGTCTGTGCCATAAAACACCGCTGAGAGAGGTTTGAGCGAAACTGTTAAATTGTCAGCGGTAACGTTAGGCGGCTGTAGCCGTTGACAGTGTTTTGACATATTACATGGAAACATCAAGCTCAAGCGAGATTATTTCTCAAACCAGATTTTGGTTTTCCATGTTTTTCTTCAAACTGAAGCAATCTTGTGCAGATACCAGTATGAAAACATCTTAACCTATCCTACCTCCACAACACTCAAACTTGACAGATCGAGGCAGGCATGAACCCTAACGCTGAATGGCTGAAACAGCGGTGACAAAATATGGCCAGCCGCTCATTACGCTTTATTGATGATAGCAGCAAGCATTATCCAAATTTTTAAAAGCGAAGATCTAAGTTGATTTGTACGGAGACGTCTACCGTAGAAACATTAACAGGACCATTTTGTCAGAGGCCCTATTAATTTAATTTCTTCTTTATTTCATACCACGTTAATAATCGGAAAATACAGTTATTTTGCTGGTTAAAAATACCTCCTTTTTATGGATGGAAAGTTGTGCATCGAACATATATAATATTAACATCCGTTCCAGGAAAAGAGATGCCCAGTTTAGTACAAAACTTTGTTCCAAAGGCAAAAAGGACTATGCTGACATACCCAACAGAGGCAAGGGGATTTTCACCGATGGGTGCATCGTTTCAGAAAAGAGAAGTTGATGATATTAGTCTCCTATGAGGTTTTAATTAAAAATTCCGACTGAGAAATGTGTCATAGACTAAGTCAACTAATGTTTTTAGCCCTGTCACGCACCCTTATCACGTAGAAATCTGCAATTCAATTGGATGTCAACCATTGCTGTCAAATTCCAGATTCCTTTAATGTATCAGTACTATGAGTAATTGCAAATTGATCACCTACAAGGTACGGTGGTGGCGTATCAGGAACTGACATAGAAGGAAGTGAGGACAGTGGTTGAGTTGTAACAATTCTTGACATGTAGTACTTTCAACTGAGTAGCAAATTTTACGTGATAAGGGCGCCGGGTATTTTAAAAATATCGATGTTATCGATTTTAAAAAAGGTAGTAGTTTCGTATTGTAAGTTTTTTTTATTTGTGATTTAGTTGTATTTATTTTATTATACAGAGTACAAATATCTTTTTATTGCTTAAGATTAATTTTAAGGATATATTGAAGGTGATAGGGTTGTACCATTATCGATTTTATATTCATCGTACTGTGTACCCATAAGTATTTTATTCTGAGCTGTAATGGTGCAACAGTCTCAATAATTCGGAAGCTGAAAATAATTTTATTATTTCCCATGGAAAATATACCATTCATCACGCATCATGTAGAGTTAATACAGGATTTAACCAGGATTGTCAAATCAACAAGCTGTTATTTTCTACCTATAGGGTAACAGTGTCAAATATAGTGAATGAGCTTTAAGATCCATTCTGTAAATTTTGGCAGCCAATATCTGTGAAATATTGAACACAAAATATTGCCTCAGTATGAGATGACAGGTCGTCATTGAAACATCACCAGCTTATTGAATATTAAGAAATTACATATAATTCAGACAAAATTTAAAAGCTTCAAATGCAATGAAATATTGACGAATATGAATGGTTATGCATATAATTTAGAGTATAAATTCATTTAGAAAGTTTCAGATTTTCTACGCATGGACCTGAACCAGATTTTTGGGTATTTTTACCGAAATGAGAGTAGTTACCGAAAACGTCATTTTCGATGATTTTTTAATATGAATCAAATATTTACATACTTGTTGAAAGAGCTGGAACTAAAAATAAAGATAAAAGTGAATTGTATATAGTCTTCGTAGCTTTATGCTCCATATCAATCATACTTATGCACACACTCAGGCAGTCGGGCACACGAGGGGTGTAGATTTGGGTTGCCTTTGATTTAGAACGCACATCCTCATTCCTTACTCTGCTTGCCGTGAATTGATTTTTGTGCGTACAAAAGATATAGACTGGTAAATTACCGTCATTACCGGATTACCGGACAAGCAATAAGGAAACCGAAACCTGTCAACATATTTTCAAAATAAATATTTAATTGAAATTTGAGGTGAGTTCAGTGATAAATAAGAAAAACATTCACAATCCTATAAGCAGGAATCGAAAAGGTGTTTCCAGGATGGTTGCAAAAGATTTTAAAAGACCGACCAGTATGCTCATTATACAATATAGAACTGTGCCCCCAAAGAACATATGTGCGCGCTCACAATACAATAATAAACTCTTTTCATAGACGGTGCTGTGTAACTTAAAAGCCCTTGATCCACTACTAATCTTGGGACGGCATTTTCCGCCCTACCGAATTCAATGACACTATTTACCGTTTTTTTGGGTTCGGCAACACTGCAGAACATTTCGAAAGCAATTAAGATTCCACGTGTGTTCCAGATTAAATAAAAATGAAATATAACAAAAAGTTCTGCAAACATTTTCGTAAATAGCTATATTTGATTCTGACATAATATCTGGATGATGAATATGTGAATGCGGATACATTTACAAATATCGATCTTTTAGGATCCAGGAATGCAGGATGTGTTTTTTTTACATCTCGTGTTGATTTATGGATCATAAATTGGTAATAAATTGTTTTTGATGTAACAAAAGATGATGAACCAGTTGAAATATGTTTTATATGCTTTTTTGCAAAACAAAAAAAATCGGTACATTTCTACAGGCACGTATTATGTACAACACCCTGTATGTGATACAGAAACAAAACTAGATTGCCTTGCATGAACAGCCGTCAAAAAATATTGAAAACATCCTATTAAATATAATAGCTAGAAAATCGACCTATTATTATGTTTTGCATTTTCATTGGTTCCTTCAAATAAGTACCTATCTCTTGTTAAATGATAGAAATTGGCAATTCTCTGAAAGTTATCCTAATTTTAAAGCTCAAAGACAAGGTATTACATCCAGAATGTACCCCTATTTATAGAAAAACCACTTTTATACGATTTAATTCAATGTTTCAATTCAAATGGCATTTCGACAAGCTGCTCCCTTATTGGTGGAAGTCTCCGTCAAATTTAAATGTTTGAGAAATCGACTCCTAGTATTTATACACAAAAATAGTGGTCCTGCAACTATTGGTTTTTTTAGAAAACCGGTCAACCTATATTGGGAATTTATAACATGATTTTCAACACATCGCATATTTCAAAGCACTGAATTCTTTTCTGAGATTCGAGAAATTTATTATCAAGTCTCCACGACTGAAAAATCACTATTTGTTAAGGCGCTTTTACTAAGTACATATCTAAAATAAAACACATTGTGATACTTTATCTATTATAATAATGAACAAAAATAAAATACCTTTTTGAAGTTTCTGTCTTAGTGTGCCACATAAACATAATTTATGGAAAAATGTAAATACATTTTTTAAAAGGAAATTATACATGGTGGGTAAAATGTTTCTGCTACAATAACTTAAATATTAGAATAAATTATTATGACCCAGTTCAGTTGTCAACTCCTGAAGGCAACAGTGAGCAGATAACAATTTTTTGCATGACGTAGGTCATACTGCCATACACGTAGCAGTTTTTGAAGTGCTATATTCTTTGCTTTGAGAACAAAAACACGGGTTCTGTATGGGAAGACTATTTGGCATTAAATACATCAAATATAATATAATGAACAAAGGAAGCCCCTTTGATAATACTATTCTAAGTTTGTCAGCAATTGGTACCTTGACAAAATATGCACTCCTAACAATAGGTCAATGAGAATTTAAGGAATACTGTTGTTCACCAAGAAGCACAAGGTTGACCATAGCTGTATAAACACATTGATGGCTTTAGATTTATCGTCGTACTTTTCTCATTTTTTCTTGTATAGGCTGCATACAATCCGTTTTTTATTGTTAGTCTTCTGCTCTGGGACAGTCTCCATAAGAGTTGGACACGTGGAGTTAAGCCATAATGCAGCTTGACATTACAATAGCATCCTACATGAATTATTTGGACACAAGTAATTATGGCAGACCTTTCAGCATTTATGGTGCAAGATAATATCTTGTTTTACTCGCCTATATGTATGAGAACCTTTCCAGTACACTTCTTATCCTCAATAAATCGTATCGCATCATTGATTTTCGACAGCTCATAGCTCTGACTTACATGTGCACTGATCACTCCTTCACTAGCTAATTCCAATGTGTCTCCTACCATTGTTTTGTAAAGATGTCTATTTTGTTTTCTCAACTCTTTCAAACTCACTATGGTGACGAAAGAATGTGGTTTGGGTCCAGGAATTGTTTTGTAAAAATATGGTGCTGCATACATCACTTTTCCTCCAAAAGAGACACTAAAATTGTTGATGATTATTAGTTAAAGTAGAACTAAAATGACTGTCGGAGATAAAATTTCTCAAAAATCGTTGAGCACATGTTCAACATCAACGAAATTAGTATGTTCATTGACCATATTCAGTTTCTATACCAACCAGTCGAATATGACAGAAATTATAGATTTATCACCTTTCCAGCTAGATATTCAAAAAACTAAACAGAACCCCATCCTCCAATTTTGCATCAATGTTTTTATGCTATTTTCTTAAGAAGGCTTCAAGACAAATATTTCAAAAATGAGATGGTGTGTTTCGTCCAAATTTTGAGACCACATTTTAATGTTATTCAGGTTTAATATGTTGTTTGAACAAAACACAATATCTAAAAAATAGATTTCTCTGGCACTAGATGAGTAAATTGAACATACAGGATAGGATATCTAGTGTTTTGAAATATGACAAGTCAAATCATTCCTTTTATGTTTACGAAACGGGTCCATAAGATAGGACTGCAGTTTGCTCAATAGGGTACAAAACGGGTAGCTGGAGATGAAACTCTTTACCAAAAATGATCTTCTCAAATGAAGCTCATTATTACTCGCAGAGCTACGTGAATAAATAAACTTGTCGCATTTGAGAATCAGAGAATCCCCACATTACGTCACGTTCTGATCTGGCTGCAACACTAAGCAATTTTTCTTATAAAACGACCTAAGGAGCTGCTTTTCAGTCAACGGACAGTGCTAAGCAAATTTTTGCCAACAATCGAATTTTTGGGCACCGTTTTCGAAAACTGGCTGTTCACCCTAAATTCTGATGTCAACTGACCGCATCAGAGAGGTGATTTGAACCCGTTGACTGTTTTCTGAGGGGGATCGTTAAGGAAGCACTTGGGTTAACTGAATGAGGTACTATCGGGCCAGCGAAAAGCTAGATGCAAGGTCAAGTGTTAAGGCTGATTGAACGATCAAGGATGACCTGGACACAGTGCTTGGGACAATGTGTATGGGGAATCACAATAGTGGTGTTTAAGCTTGCAAGACAATTCCTTTTATGTAATCTTTATTATCGGGCCAACCGTGTGGCAGTCGCTCGTTTTATTCCTAATTGTCAAAGGTCAACCTTTTCAATATGACCATACATTTGATAGTTTCTTTTTGTACTATTTATGTTACAAACATTAAAAAACAGCTACCCTATACATTACTTACCAACTGCCTATGGTGTCCATCATCTCCTCACCGGCAGCATCATATACAATATTAGCACCTTTATTATCAGTCATTTTCATTAATTGATTTGAGAGTTTTCCACTAAAATGTAGTGTTTCAAATGCTCCACGTTCTCTCACCAATTCACCCCTTTCCTCTGTGTCCACTAGACCTATCACCTGAAGAGTTCATGGATCAAGAATCAATATTCAAAATTGAGCAAATATATTTTGGTCTCACGTTTTGTAAACACTATTCAGTAATTTTCGAACCATTCAAAATTATCATCTGGGCACAATTAGTATGATCTAAGAATAAAAGAACAAATACATTCGATACTGATGATACTACATTTTCCAGCTCAGAATTTATATGTGATTGTGACAGTTTGACAAGTGGTAACACCTAGTATCTGTCGCTCAGATTTACATTATTGCTTTACCTGTGCTTTATACACATTAGCAGCTACATCAACTGCAGCTAAGCCCAGACCAGCTGGTCCAGCAGATATAAGAACCCTTTCTTTCTCCTTTGGCGTTGCTAAATTAGAAAAAGCATACACAGCTGTTGAGTGGCCATATGCAATAACAGCTGCATCTTTTCTCTCTAGCTCACTTGGTATTCGCCATACATCATCTGCATCTACCTACAAATATGTAAGCCTACCAAGTTGGTACCAGCCAGTGGATTGCACCAAATATTTATTTTTCATTAAACATTGCAGATGATCATCAAATACTGCAATAAAACAATTAAAGTACCATGCTAGAGGCATAGATAACCTCATGATTGAGTTGAGCCTACCAGTAATTTTCTCACATATTGTTCACATTATAAATATGCGATTAGAAAAAGATTTCCTCACAGTTTTCTCAAAAATTATGGAAAAAATTGTGAATATGCAGGTAGTAGACTCCTGTTACTGAATATGTGTGATAACATTTTCTGAGCATTGGTCAAAAAAATTGGACATAGAAGTTGTATCAGCCAACTACCAGCTTTGATAAGATTATTTATCAATCCATATTAAAAATTTCTTTAATTAATAGAATTGTATAAAACAATTACAAGTAATCCATTGGAACAATTGAATAACTAATGTCAGTACAAAAAAACCTGTAAGCAGGGACTATATAATAGTAAGTTAAAAATACAACAATACACTTACAAATAAATAAAATAAAATGGTGTTATTTTTAGTAAACCATTCTTTGGCTGCCATTAAATGTTTGGAGGAAGTTTCAAAAAGCTCAGAGTATTGTTCCCACTGTGAGAATATTTGTATCATATGCAAAATTCATATTACCCATCATTGAGTATCTCCACAGCCAGATTGTTCTCATAAGAAACAAACAAAAAGCGACTGATGACACTGCCCTGTGGAAAACCTATAAGAAGCTGACCCTCCTCTGAAAAGAAGCTATTTCCATCTTTTTGAACAAAGGTATATATGTATATTAACAAGGTAGGTATGTCTCTTCACCCAAGAGCTGGGCCACGAATATCATATCTTCCTAGTTTGTTTAGTAGAACTTGATGGTTAAGGCTATCAAATGCTTTCGATAGATCTAAAAACATGCCTACTCAAATACTTTCTGTTCTTTAACCTCTAAGATATATATATATATATAAACAGTATTTGATAGTTCCAGTTTCATATCCTATTTATCTAGATCCAAGTGTCTCAGTGATAACAAATTATCAGATATCATTATTATATCACCAGAAGTTCCTCAAGACTCAGTACTAGGGCCGCTCGTTTTTTTCTGACATGTTAGATAATTTGAATGAGGTTGGTGCAGTAGTAACAGGTTCCGTAAAATCATCTAAATATGGTCCAAAACTACATTCAATTTACTTTGTAAGCTTATATATAAAAGTCTATTACCAACAGCGGGAAGGAATTTGATGTAGACTGTACCTTATTGAATTACTGACTATATGTAGTAGTTATTATTGCTTAAAAATACTAACCTATTTTTTAATTTTTTTGTTAAATATTGGACCATAGTTGCATATGATGTTTTTAACTATAGTCCAGATCGAATTTCACCAAGAAAACGTACGCGTATACGAATTTGGACTACAGTTGGAAGGGTCTCATGCAAAAATAGATATATTGAAAGTGATATCCGCAAAAAGAAACTACAAATTACAATCAATAATCTTATTTTTTTATTTATAAGGTACAAATTGAGATCAATTTAACAAAACAGCCTCCTCTTCTTCAAACGTCAACAAATGAACAAAGAAAACGTATCTTTCATAGGAACATTTTAAACAATTCATAGAAATTATTTGAGAAAAGCAATAAAAGATAAAGAAATTAAACAAAAACAATTATTTTTTGGGATTTCCCCACCTACTTTCTAGCTCCGGAACTCGGAATAAAGACCTTTTGGTGCTCATTTTTTTGGGCTCCTCAGTTTTATATTTAATATCACCGAGAGGGTAAAATATTTTGTCCTCTTTTTCTGGCCATTTCCACAACAGTCCAGAACGGGCCATACATTTTACGTAGGCTCCTTCTTCTTCAATAGATTCTATCTGGCCAGGCCATAGTTCCCCCTCATACGCCACGACAACATAATCTTCCGGAACATATTGCAGCGATGCATTGTGAGGAGAACTATCATGCTGCTGTTGTATATTTTCATCTTCCCAATCGTCGGCTTCCTCATTTAGCGGGCCATCGGAATCTGAATCGTCAATAGTTTCCACTGCCTGGTCTTCTTCTGAATCTGTTTCAGTTTCCGAATCTGTTTTCTTCTTCTGTTTTTTTTTTCTTTCTTCCATTTTTGTTTCTTGTGGAGGTTGAAGGTTCGGACAGGACTCTTTTGAGTTCTGCAGAAGATACGCTTTTTCCGGGATCTACATTCAATTTTCTCTTGCGACCTCCTTTTCCTTGACACACTACAGCTTGCCGCTTATTTTCAAGAAATTGGATGAATGACACTCCGACGGCCTCTGGATCTAAGGTTGGCTCAGGGTATTTGAACGTAGGAAGTCTCTCAAGCACTGGCTGTTCATTAGTTGGGAAAATCCCTGTTTTTAAAAAGCCAGCTTTTAGGTTGTCTTCAGTTTTTGGTGCAATTTTTCCCATAACTGATTAAGCAGTGAAGGGAATGTCTGTTTTGGAATGGTAGGCAAAACTTGACCTTCTCGCGTAGATTTCCAATCATCCAGTATTTTCCGCCAATGGACTTTGAGAGGTCGGAAGTATGCCACGTCCAGCGGTTGTGTAAGGTGTGTACTGTTAGGCGGCAATGCGACGAACGCTATGTTGTGGTCTTCGCATGCTTTGACTACCTTGTAGCTGAGATGTGAGCTTAAATTGTCTCCAATTATTACTTTCTTTCCTTCTTCTCTTCTCAGTGCCGGTAACACTGTGGTGAAAAACCAATCTTCAAAACTATTAGCGTCAAACCAACCCGATTTAGATCGATTGTATCGAGTATTGGAAGGTCCTCCTTCGGTCCAAGTGTCCCACAAATGTTCAGCTTTGTAATTAACATATGGCGGTAACAGTTGACCTGCGGCATTTCCACACATCATCAGACTAAAGGCGGCTTTCGTTGAGTTTTTAATAGCCTCTGGATATTTTGTGCCACGTTTCGTTAGAACTTTTCTCTTTCCTGGGTCATCAACTAAATTAGTCTCATCGTAATTATAAATCAAGTGAGGTGGGATATTCTCAATTTCCATTTTCAAATGATTGAAATAGTTCTTGATAGCTTCTTCATTTACTGCAGCTCGGACACGTTTAATATTGCTGCAGAACCTATGTGAAAGCTCTGATTTGTGTCTCTTTAAAAAAAGTTGAGCCCATGTACGACCTGGAAAATTATTTGAAAATTGTGGCACATTCCTTCCTTGCTTGTCCAAACGTTTTCACTATGCATCGTAGGTCAAATAAAGTGATTGGGAACCCAAAGTAATACATTTGGATGGCGTGATCGACGAATGAGGATTCTTCTTTCGTGGTGAATACACATTGCCGACCAGGTGGGCGAACACTATTGTTGCGTATTGCTTTTATTTCCAGAATTATTGAAGATCTTGGTATTTTATATTTTTCTGACGCCTCCCTTTGAGTTAATACTCTGTTTTCTATATCCGATAGGCACAGTTCCATCTGTCTGTCGCTATAATACTTGTATGGCCTGCCTCCTAGCTTTCTTCTGCACATTTGCAGTGAGTCATCCATCCACACCTGTAATAAAAATGAACTTCTAAATATGGTCCAAAAAAATCTTAGGACTATTGTTGAAACCAAAGTACAAAAAATTATTATTTTTTGATTAATTTTTATAACAACACCTATATGTGAAAAACTATTTGCACAAACTATTAGCTTACCTTCAAACAAAAACAAACCGCGAAACTTGGCACAAACTGCAAGTAATGTTTTCAAATAAAAGTTTCGTCGTCCCATAAAACACGCACCGACTTGTTCATTTTACCGTTCCTAATTTGCTGGTAGCTACTTTGTTTTCCCATATGGCATACGTTTAGGTATTAATACTATCAATCTTCCTCCAAATCTAATAAATGCTAGTAAGTTGTTTTATCCATGCACAGGCCCATCTGGATCATTAGTTCACTTCTTAATTAATATGTAAATAAGTAGATCTCTTTTCAATTCAACATTTCTATGACATTCTTTGTCTCTTCTTCTTTCAAACCTTTAACTATATAGTATAGTAGATCAAACATACCCCAGCTTCAACTAGTAATAGGTCTCCGTACATCATACAAGTTTTGTTCACACCTTGACATTCATATATCAGCTGTACTGATAGAACTAACTAAATATCAAAATGTTTACATATTGGCATGCACAACTATACCTGCACAAATTTGCATGGGTGTGAAAATGGGCCATAAGGAAATTGCAGGGAATTTGAGTGTGAACATCCAAATACAACAAAGGGTTAGACATCTTGAAGAATTTATCAATCAATGCAATATGCTTTTGTGGCAATCAAGGTTAAATAAATAGCAATTTGATATTCTTACCACACACTGTTCTGCAAGGCCTCCAAAATGTTCTAAGCTGAGACACGCAACTCTATCTCCTAGTATGACCTGTTCATTGGGAATGTCTGGACCTTTTTCAATGACTTCGCCTGAAAGCTCGTAGCCTGGTACAAATGGCAAGTCTCCTCCACCATGCTTAAATTTTACTACATCTACCTTGTTAACACTACAATACACCACTCGAACTCTAACTTGGTTTGACTTCAGTTTTACGACTTGACGCTCCTCTATCGCAAGGGGCTTTCCTATTTCTTTTATAACTGCAGCTCTGAAAGTACTTGCTAATCGTTTCTGATCACAATGTTTTCTGAAGTGAGTTTGGACTGTTTGGAGAAGCTTCCTGGCAACAGTCTGCAGAGGGTTATTCATTATAAATTACTGTAAAAAAGTAATTTTTAGAGTAAATTCGAATTTGAAAATTGATGAAACAGTTCAGATAACCTAAAAATTCTGACTACTAGAGAGGTTAGAGATGTGCGGTCACCAGGCGGCCACCACAAAACATATACATATACACTGTGCGGCTTCCGACTTGCCTTGGGAAACGTGACACCACAGACTATGAGACTACTAAAGAATATTCTTTAGTAGTCTGTGCGTGACACGAAACGCATAACACTGAAGATAGGATATTGCGCATGTGGGCGGAGCTTCGTGACGTCACCCGGAGAGTTCGTGGTTACCACCGGCAGGATTGTCGTAACGATAATGCAGTTCAAGTGTATCGTGGTTAATACTTATGTAGTGCGATTTGTTGGTGTTTTTTTGGTGGTTTTGTGACTTGTATTAGTTATACATACCTTATATACCCTGTGTGGTTGATAAATTGATAAAAATGCGGTGTGATGTTGTGGGATGTAATTCCGACAATCACTCTAAACGGAATCTTTGCAAAGATATGAAGTTCTACAGTTTTCCTCAAGACCCAAACTTTAGCAAAAAATGGCTACATCTCACAAAAAGATAAGACATAGTCAATGTAAAAAGCGCTGGGGTTTGCTATAAAATGCTCTAAAGGATCTGAAACGACGCTTCAGCGTCCAATACCTGTTAACAAGACGTCTTAATCAAGATGTGATAGAACACTTTTTCGGAGTAATTAGGGCAAAGGATAGTCTTCATGATCATACAAGTCCTCTAGAGTTTAAGTATAGAATAAGGTCATATATGTTGGGGCGAAGCGAAGGCGCATGCTCAGAGTACCTATTGCAGCGTAGAGTCGAGGATACTCCAGACATTCCACTAACCACTAACCGCATCATTAACGAGAATAAACTGGATGCACCTGAAGTATCAGCTGACTATGCCGAGCAAGTTTTAGTGGAAGAAGTAGATGAGCTCAAGTATGACGGGCTAGAAAATTTGGCTGGCTTTGTTAGCAATAAATTGCAGGATGAGAGGTTGAAACATTCCTGAAATGAAACTTATTCATGGATAGACCTTCTTAGTGAGGGTGGATTATCAAAACCTTCCGCAACTTTCATGAATCAAATTGAGAAGCTGAACAAGGTATTCACTACATTCAATGAGGGCGGAATAGTGACAAAAAAGCAAAATTTTATAGGTGAACTTCTGTTGAAGAGCAGCAACATTGACAATGACGATACGCTCTATTGTGGAGCTAGAAGCCGTTTAAGCTATAGCCTGTGAAATAGGAATTCCAGGGTTGAAATTATTTATTAAAATCCACCATTTTGTTTTGTATAAAATTTCAATGTAGCTAGTGTTACTCGCACCGCTAAGATGAATCCAACGAAACCTCATATGTGAAAATCTATCAAGCCGTTTGATCTGTAGCCTATGAAGTAGGAATTACAAGGTTGAAATCTTTTATTAAAATCCACCATTTTGTTTTTTATAAAATTTCAATGTAGCAAGTGTCACTCGCACCGCTAAGACGAATCCAACAACACTTCATATGTGAAAATCCGTCCAGCCGTTGGGCCTGTAGGTGAAAAATATGCAGGTTATCCATATCAACCCAAATGATAATCACTCTCCGCGTGACGTCATGCGCGCCGGCGGACGAAAATCGAACAGCGGAGCATACGACCCTCGATGCGTGATGTGCGGTTGCTTTAATGGTTTGAAGTTCGAATCAATTCAATCGTTGTATAAATACTCAATGATACAGTTAAAGAAGACATTTCTGGTGACAAATTGAGGATTGTTCCCGATGAAAAGTATGTGACAAGAATATTGCCGTGTCAAAATCCAGTTATTGCTTCAGTAAACTGTTTAGAGTTGAGAAATATAGTTTTTTGAGGTTTTTTCTTTACGTTTACGTTATCACTGTTATTATATTTAGTCTAATCATATTGACGAAAATACCACTGGTTTGCGAAATAATGGTAAAGTCTGCAATTAAAAATTGGAGGCATAAAATGTTTACACCCATTCTTGTGGGAAAACTTTTTATTCGACCACAAAGAATGAGAAAACGTGTTTTTTGGGACTCAATCGAAAGTGTTGGCAGGAACGAAAAAACTCTTCATATAAGATTTTTAGGTATTTATGAGACCTACAAAATGAGACTACACGTAAAACGGTCCGACTAATAGCAAAAAATGTATGGCCGAAAGCCGAGGCAAACTGCAGGTTTTGGCAGTGGTTGGTAATGTGAAGATAGTTTCTCGCAGATTTGAGAATTGTTTATCCCAAAACACCTGAAAACACCTGTATTCCGGCGATCACTACTAGTTTATTGAGCAATATACAGGGTTGGTTCAAACAGCATTTTATAGCAAAATACACTATAGTATACCTTGTCGATATGAATCGCAAACCATTTCGGAAGATAAATGTTATTTTAATGCAAAAAGGGATGGGATACGTTATTTCTTCTAAACAAATTCACATTTTTTTTATTTGTGAGAAGTTTGCAACAAAAGATGACAGACACATCCGTTTTGTTTTAAAATAGGTATTTGTTCAATGACTCACAAATAATACGAAATGTTTGAGTTTGTTTAGAAGAAAAAAACGCAACCTTCGTTTTTTGTATACAAATAACATATATCTTTCGGAGTGGTTTGTGTTTCATATCGGGACTGTAAACACGTGCATTTTACTATTAAATGCTTTTTGAACGAACCCTGTTTTTTGCTCAATAAACTAGTAGTGGTGGCCGGAAAACAGGTGTTTTGGAATAAACAATTAGATCCTCAAAAAACTACTTGACCAAAATACTCAAATTTTATTGTTGTTATTTAGAAGTATGGAACCTACGGATTTGAAGAATTTCAAGTAGTTGCGAGAAATTATCGTCGCATTACCAACAAGTGCCAAAATCTGCATTTTGCCTCGTTTGTCGGCGATAACATTGTTGCTAATAGTCGAATCTTTTCACGTGTGGTCTTATTTTGTAGGTCACATAAATATCTAAGAATCTTATATGAAGAGTTTTTTCGTTCCTGCCACAACTTTCCACTGAATCCCAAAAAACACGTTTTCTCATTCTTTGTGGTTGAATAAAGTCTTCGCCCAAAAATTGGTGTATCTATTTTATGCGTCCATGTTTTACATATCCCCTTGAACAACTTTGCTTATATGATTAGACTATATGCACAATGCGAACATGTAATGGCGGTTTCGTTTAAGCATCCTTCTCTTAGATTTTTTCATCATCGTACCTTCGCGACTAAAATGCTTAAGCGATCACTAATCATTTCCTTGCATCAGATACTTATATTTTTTATCTTCTGATTCTAATGTTAATGATTGAAAGTTGCGATTTTTATTTAAATATCTTTTAGCGTCTAGAAAATGATGAGAAATATTTTAAGGCCTTATGTGAATCTAAAAAAAAAGAAAAAGAAAACGAGACACTGCGTGAACGAAGGCACACCAAACAATTGGAAAACAATATGACCTAAATTTTGCGACAGGACCTTGTAGAAAAACGTTCAAACTTTTATTTGGAGACTTCCGGACTGTCACAGATGTTTGTAAATGCGGCTTGAATGTTATCCAAAAATTTAATGGAAACAAGTTGGTTTTAGATGGTGCAGTTCATATAGATACTAAAAATAAAAATGGAAAAAAATGAGAAAATACTGCGTCAAACTGAGTGAGCTTCCCAAATGCTTGGAGACACATTTCAAAGGAGTTATGTGATTAATAAACAGTAGGAATAGCATTTCAAATACTTTATTTATTAACAACACATGTATTTTAACATATATAGTTGGTGTGAACAAATAATTATGCGAATTTGAATATATAATTCATATATACAATCACACAACAATTTTTTGGGTAAACAGCACAGTAAAAAAAACACCATTGTAGGTATAAGCCAATGAGAAAAACAATATTCAGGAAAACTTAACCAAAACTTATAGTCCTTCCACACACTATGGGAATTATTGATAATATATCAATTACATCATTGCACACTGCGGGGAAAGTTAGTGTGAGACTTCACGAACAAACTTTTATTATGCTGAACAAAGCTTAAAGTGGACCTGTTGTCCATGCTAAAAGGACACACTCTTCACTGTTCTGCTTAAATGCATAAGTGCACCTTATTTTCTCTATCCATGTTCTCCAAATAGGACTATTCCTGATGCAGCGACTCTTTATCTTCATCTTATGGTTAAAGTGCAGCCCATATCAAAGTCTATTAGAAACAACATTAGGGTTGGTTACACGTCATGAGAGGTCAACGTACTTGTAGGATAAATTCGTTTAACTTCAAGCTCAAATGTAGTTTTTTTGACATTATTGTGACTGATTTGTTCAAATAATTTCTGTTGACATTGGTAAAGTGTATTGTTGCAGGAATAAATTGACCACACTATCTTTAAATGTCATGGAGGGCAAGTGTAAACTTACAGAGGTAGAGTTTCCTTGCCAGCAATAGTACACTTTACCAACAGATATTTTTGGTTGATATGCCAAACAGAATTATGCCAAATGAGCCTAGATTTGGCTAATTGGTAACCGTATAGTTTGACGTTCGACACCTATATGAAAAAATAATTTTGAGTTTGAACATTGTTTTTTAGACAAGCATCACTAAAACGTGTGCCTTAAAGATAACAAACAATTAATCCAATCATTTTTTGCTAAATCAATCATAGAACCAACAGCCAAATGCAGTTTGTATTATGCAAAATATGTATCAGAACTGCATAATTATGAAATCTTGTTCGTAAAATCTGCAGTAGTTTATGCTTATACAAATACACTATTTGTTCTACCTTTATAAAGACTAAGTATACGTAATCACAGAGTATCTAAAAATTATTCTAAAATCCTTATAGAAGCAATATTAAAATATACACTCCTCTAACTGAAAGGTAATTCACAATAATTTGTACAGGTACTTCAACAGAACATCTCAAACGAAACGAAATTCTCCTAAAAAAGTAACAACGGGAACAAACCTTCAACTTAAGAAGGGAACAATATAAGTTATATACAGTTATTCAATTAATTATAGTACACTGTTAGATTCCGTGTCGGTGAAATATACATACATTACATATACAAGCCTCAACTATATTTACAAATAACATCACATTCGGTATTTACGTACAGAGTTAAATAGCCCAAGAACACATCATATCCTAGGAGTATCCCATTTTCCAATAACAAGAACGATTGTAGATTCGACAAAGTCCGTCTTTACGAATAGACACGAAAACACTAACATAAGAATATGAGATACAAGGGCAACTAGTGTCATGTCCTTTTGACGTGTCAATAACCTGACTGTCCTAACAGAAACTAATGAGCTTTAGAGCTTCAAAGGGAGTCATTCTGTTGGTTTAGACAAGCTGCCTGATAAGTACCTTTTAGCAATTCTGTAAGTTATGAAACTTAGCTAATTCACCAATACTTCCCCATTTTCCCACGTTTTACCTAATAGTTAAAAATACACAGTAGCAGAATTATGGGCAATGGCTTTCGGATATTGTTTTCAAATGTATAGTACGTCGTAGGTTTCATGTAGAATAAAGTAGTTTCCAAGATACAGAGCGGCAAGTTGGGCAATCCATACTTTATTACAGTTAATGGTGAGATCAGTAAACAAAGTACTTGTTCGCTATTTACTGAAGTTGTCATCATCCCTACTGACCGATTAACCAACATTGCAATTCGATCACATGTACAGAATGGTCCAAACTAGAATGGACGGATTATTGCTCCGAGGCGCAAACTATTTCAAAACCTGATTATCAGATCTCTTGTTTCAGAAATTTCAGTACTCTGTCTATTAAAGCGGGCTATGTACTGGTTGCCGTACGGAAGAATGTAGGTCTAACGAAACATTTAATAAAAGTATAGAGGTGTCTATAAAAAACAACTTTGTACTCTCGTAAAGCACCCTGTAAAATCCTCAACATTTTTAAAATATATTCCTATTTTTATCTCGGAACAATATCCCAACCATGCAATTTGGGCTACCCGGTATATGTGATAACATGGTAATGGTAAGAGTACAGACTATACAGGCCTCGGAACTAGTTATGGATAAGCTTTTGATAGCACGGATACTTTTGTTCTACATGTTGAATTAATAAGTATATTAAATTAAAAAGAATAGCCTAAAGCGACTCCCCAAATGGTTCTGCGGAATCTTTCAAATTGTATGGTTGTTAATCAAAATTAAAATTCAGACATTATTCCGAAATTATTTAGAAAACCATAATTGAGCACTTATGAATAATATAACGGGTAAATCGCTACTCTTCATCAAATCACCATTTTGTATATTCATAATGCATTTACAGCTTCGAAAATGAATGAAGTATGATAAAACTTTTTATCTCAAATATGATAACAACTACAAAGGGTCTGATACTAACTGAAGTCAGGCTTCCATCATCATTAAAAGATATTCAACAGTTACTGGGAATTTAACGTGCTGGAGCTAATAAACTAATATAGTGAGACCAAAACAGCAAAGTTTTGCAAGTTTTAATTGTAGAGGTATCATGCCAAACCAAAGTATGCATCAAAGAAGCAGGTCTCGCAGACAAAAGCTTATGTTCTGCATTCTTGTTTTCCTGAAAACGGAGGACTAGGTGATTGTATATTTAACGACATCACGGGCATCCTGTGGCACTGCTCTGTGATTAATAGTAGAGATAGATGGTATAAAAAATGATACTTGTGAATTCAAAATATATGTTCTTTTTATTTTTAATAAGATTATTATCCTACCAGTAGCAGACCAGCAAATCCTATTTAACGAAATAAGGAAATTATTATGTACCATGAGATTTTCTAACGTTTACCCACATGCCTTCCTGGTCCAAATAAATATCCTTCCTCTTTATGTTGTGGTAATAACTAAGCATTCCGAGATATATATCTACGAGTAGTTACTGTGAATAGGATTTCCTTATAGAAAAGTTTGTCACATTTATAGAGGGCGCATTGAAAAGTTGAGTATCCAAAATATGACTATTTCGTTTTGTGAATGAATATCAATCAAGAAGAGGTCAAACTTATGAGGTTTTGTGACTTATTTTTTTTACTCCCACCCACTCTCAATTTGCATGAATTTTTTTGATGATCAAAACAAACGGATGGAGAGATCTTCCAGGCAGCTTCAAAAAAAAAACTGTCATAAACGTCATTAGGGGTGTTGAAAATATTTAAATCAATCGTATTAACTTGGCGGTTCTCCATACATTTGATTGGAATTTAATAATTCGGAATACACTTTTATTGACTTCCTCATTGTCTGCGCATCGTCTTATTGAACGGAGTCCATTCTTAAAAGGTGTAGATGCTTTATCGGATAAGCGTAACGGTGGATATATTTTTGATAACAATAACTTGAGAAATAGGAATATGAACCACCTTTTCATCTTGCTTTCTCAAGCTATTCAGCACCACATCTGGTGGTGTTTAACTGACAATAGGTGTGGATAGGGTGGGATTTGCCTCTAACAGTCGATCCTAAAAGTTGGTTGGCAGCTAGCGCTGAATGCCAATTTCGTATGTCGCCTATCACGTAACGGGGGAGATCCGGTTTCATATCCCGCCAGCGCCAATTTTTCCTTTCTCTTAAGTTGTTTCCAGTCATTCCAATTCAGAATTTCAAACTCCCTAATATTTAATTGAATTCATTTGATGTCATTAGAATCCCTTGTAAGTTGAGCATAATGGGAACTTATAGCTTATACTATGAACATAGTAGAGTTGCTTAGCCTTCGCTCGTTGTTCACTGAGACCAAGCCTATACCATGTAGAAGAGTTGCCAAATAGTACGGCAGTCTGTGGTCAGACGAACGAACACTATATTACTAATTATAGTTTAAATTAGACCAAAACCACTGGTACGACTGGAAGACTGCTAACACTAGATTTATTCTCTCGTGGGCCAATATCTACTGACAAAACGAAATGTATATATTTTGTAAGCCCCCACAATACCTGCATTACTCAATTATCAATAATAGGCTGGCACATTTAGATTTTGAATTTTTTAAAAAGTAAACAGTATGTATATGACAGAGAGTTTACTACATTTTCAATTTATTTATATCTCCATGGTTTTACTACTATAATATGGTATTTTTGGTCTCACTACTTAGATTGGCGTTGGCAACACAGTGAAATCCTGCAACGCGCACTTGACCGTCTCATACAGTGGCCTGTTCTCATCAGAGCAGTACCCATCTGGAGTGCAGAGCGTTTGCAGCTTGCTGAGGTACGAGTCAAAGTTCTCCTGCCCCAGCTTTTCTCCCGAAACAGGCTGGAGGTGACCTCCCTGACCTCCAGGAGCAGCGCCAGGTTGGCCGCTGCCTGGCGGAAGTCTGACGTGCTCCAGCAAGGTGATGACATTGTTGCGCAGGCTCTCGTAGTACTCGTTGAGGTTGGTGGTACGCTGAGCCAGCGCTTGTGTCTCCTGAGAGAGGAGAGTTGGGGGTTAGTGATGCCAGAGCCGGTGATTCAGGCGCAGCTGAGCGCAACAACATTTTTATGTATTAGGATGGAAGCGATTGCATTAATCCTTGATTGAGGTCAAGTAGTTTCACAAGCAGAATTCACGAGGCCCGCTTACAAAAAAAAGTTATAGAGGCGATCGATTATCTTTTGAACCGTAACCGTTACATGAAAATGCGCAAGGCGGCTATATTTCCAGTTGGAATATTAAAAAACCCAGCATTTGTAGAAAACATATGACTCCAGATTACAGGTCAGTAAAATTAGATCGTTGGTTTTTGTCATTGTAGTATAAAATTATATTTAATAACGTAACAGCCACGGCTCACCAAATAATAAAGACCAATATCTTGAGTTCCTTCTTAGTAAAAGTAAATGCTATTGTCAAGTATGAGCACCCTTTAATTATCTGAAAACAGTAATTGGATGCTAATGTTGATGGTGCAAGTATCTACCGTTAAAAAGCTTAAAAAATAAGGTGACGCCAGCAATAATGGTTTTGGTTAAAAGGCAATTGCTTCAAAGACGTTGAAGGCATTTTTGAGATCGGAAATGACTACTCAACCCATCACACTTTTAATACTCGTTCACGGTTCAACTGCAGCTCACATCAAAGTTTGCTGAATTAGCTTTACTTCAAAGGTAACCTTTTTAGAAAATATATCTGTTAACAGTGGTCAAGCGTATTGTTATCGACACGTTATCAAGATAATATCTTGTGTCAAATATACATACAGGGTACATACTCGTAGTACATAGCAGAAAAACATAGTTCTTGATCTTTCAGATTCGTCATGGTAACGTGACTAACTCAATATTGACAACAACAAACTCTGCCATCGTCAACGGTAGTTGTTTGCTGAGAGGTTGTTAGTCAACATTATTTCAAAAGAAACTAAAACTAAACCAATTATAAAATCCCCGTTTATTAACATCTTCCTCCAGTAACGAACTTTGATATAAACTGCATTAGAACCATGGGCTTAACTTTGTTCTAGAAGTGTTATGAGATCTGTGTCTATCTAGCCTGGAGACGCTCTTGGTATAAAGTTATGCTCATTTTCTCTTTTAGTGATCAACCAAATCTTACCTCATATTACGGCTGTGCCAATATTATCACTCATGATTCCACCAGCGGCATCGTATCAAAGATGCTCACAATAAGGTACTACTAACTTCCTAAGATAATTTTAGGTTTTGAATACTTGTGAAACTGCTTGTTCCCTTCGATCGCAAAAATTTGACAGGCGTATATTTGAAATATGCAAGTTGTGTAACCTTCAGTTCTTATTCAAATTGACTATATATTTTTTATTATTTGATTTGTTACTAACCTTTTCGCTGTGTCCAAGGTGACTTTCCATAGCATTGATATCAGATTTTAGCTTGATCATCTGAGATTCGACTCTAGCGTTCTCCCTCTGAAGTTCCGAGATTTCAGCTTCGAGAGTCATGAGATCCTCTCCGTTATTGGGATTTTGTTCTATACCTGCAAGAAAATGCCTGGAAATAAGATTTAGTTCCACCTAGAAAAACTTCAGCTTGTATACTGTACAATGAGATAATAAGGCAGAATTCAGTCTGAATGTATTTCATTTGGTTGTTCTGCACACATGATCGGATTTTGAAATTAGTTGAAACATATTGGATGATTCCCCAAAAAGAAGTGTTTACTGTTTCCCATAATTATCTACAATAGTTTTATAATCAATTAATTTTGCACCAATTGGCTGTTATAAATTGACCACAATAAAAAAAATTATTCATAGGATGCATGGAATTAACTTTTTGCTTATCTTTGGCTAGAAGTGGTAAGGGTCCATCATCCAGTTTGGAAAATAGATAGAAAGGAAGATATTACTCCGTATTATGAATAAGTACTTTTGTGAGGCAAACTCAATGTAGTTCCGATGGGCTGCTGATAGGCTAGATTGACGTTCTTCTTTATCATGGAAATTTGATATAAACTTCATGATGGTGGATTATAGTGATTTGGTTACGTAAGTACTCAGAGTTAACAAAAATTGACAATGTTGCAATTTTGAAGGAATATTAACTGGCGTTCGAGTTTCCGTGTATCGTGTGTGTCAAATTGTTCTGGTGTTACAATGAATAGCTAAATTCAAGATCTGAATATACAGGGACTTTGAAGATGAGTCATTAATTTTCAGATAATGATTGTATAAGGAAGATAAACCAAAATATGTGTGTAAAAATAAAAAAAAATGTTACCTTGTTTTATAAAGTATCCTCCCGACAAGTATTTCAATGCGGATCTGTATGTGATCGTGCGGTCTTGGAGCACCGGCATGCCCTCCGCTGTGAGGTCTTAAGTCACCTGATTCACGAGCCATTTGTACTACATTAACAAAGGCACGAGGGGTTGGTTGCACTCGATTAAGAATAAGAGTCATGTCCACAAGTTCAGCATTTTCGTAAACATGTGCCATTTTTTATTTCGTTTGAGCCACGCAACAAACACCACTATTGACTCACGCGTTACCGACTGACACATTGACTGAATATAACTGAATAATAATTGTAGTAAAAACATCGTTTCAAATTCTTTCGCTTTTTTGTTTCCGATGCGATGAACCGATAAGGCGGATTATATCCGTTGTTGCCAAACACGAGCACATAATATTATTATTGAGACAGGGCGGTACTCAAACTTCTAAAGGGCTATAACTTTGTTACTTTAATTTTACCAGAAAAATGTTAAAGGAAAAAAACATTTCTTTTGATCAGATCTACTCACTGTTAAAATAAATGACTCAACTTCGAAGTCACCCTGTATAATATAATTCCAATGGATAAATATATTGCTGAATATGTCACCTAAGATTTTGAAAAAAAATAAAATACACAAAATAATCAAAAATAGCGTGATGAGAATAACATATTTGTTGCACCTGATAGTTAAGGGATACACGGATGTTTCATTAAAAAAAATCGATGCTTACCATCGAAGGTAATTTTTGCATAATATCGATATGTCGATATAACTTTATACGATATTTTAAATCGATGTTTTAGAAGAATCGACCATCTGTTTGAAATATTTAGTACTATTAGGTGCCTAAATTATATACCCGCTTATGCATAAATCATAATTTCATGTATGTTGACTTAAAACTAAAACAAATTTGTTTCAGACACAGCAAAAATGTTTTAGATATTTACTAGTTTTTTAGGTTAATTTCTTTTACAGGCACAAAAAGACGATACATCTTGATACATAGATGTTTTCTGGCCCGATTTATACATGGATGTTTTTTTCTGAACCATCAATTTGTGGTTACATCGATGTTTATCTTTATGATACTTGAATCCCTACTGCTGATGCTCTCTGAATTTTTAGTGGGATTCTAGAAATCTTCAGTAAAGCTTCATATCAGTGCTATTGCAAACTGTGCAAAATGAAATACAAACCCGTTGGGACTAATTATTTTCAAACCTACCTGTATATCCTTTGGAGTAGAATCCAGCAACTTCATCTGGATATTTTGGCTTCTTAACAGTCTGTCCAGCAACAGGGCATCCGCTAAGCGAGCGATGCGTTAAAAAAGATCCATTGACATGTCCAGTACCGTCGCATCCTGGGGTGGGGCAATTCACTCCTTCGAATTTCATGGCGGACGCCGCTGCCGCCGCCGCGACTGCTGCTTTGTGTTGTTCTACGGAGCCGCCGCTTTCCAACACGCGCATCTTGTTGCGGTTAGCGATTGGGCAACCAGAGGCGCTATAAGAAGAGTTTAAGAAGGGTTTCGATTACTGTTTCAATTAGATCAGCAAATGTTTTACCAAAAATAAGACAGTTTTTGAGTTGTGCCTTGGAGCAGCAGATCGTCTCAACATATACGTTTAATGATTTTCCGCATACATACATATTTAAATAAGCTTTCGTTTGTAAGTTAGGTATCGTCGACATCAACGAATTTAAATAGATTAGAAGGAGCGAAGCCAATATGTTTACATTGCATTGTTTGTCGCCAAAACTGCATGCATGCTTTTTGGCTAATTTGTTTATCATCGTCTATAAAAGTGACAAACCAACATTCGTACTCGGTGTGCTCTCGTAGAGCAAGGCAGAAATACTATCTGTGTCGCGATGTGAATCACTCAGTTATTATGCTAAGGCAAAGATACGAAAGTACATAACAACAATTCTGCTTAATTGGTGATTTTGAAAGGTGAGTAATACGAAACATTATCTCCATCAAACAGCAATAATGGCGAAATACCCATTTCTTGGTTAAGTGCAAATATCTAGTTAAACATAATATGAAAATGTATGCTTTTTTATCATTGTTACTATACAAGGTGTCCTCAAAGTTGGTACTTTCCTTTACACGGCGTATAGATCTAGAAAGATTGAGCGGTTTTTTCCTAGTAGCATATAAATCATATAAATCAGTCTTAAGATTATAGAAATATTAGGGGCCGCAAAATCAGTCAATTCTAAACCAAACTTAATCCATTGCTGTACCTGGATTAGATCAAATGTGAGAAGACACGACGCACGTCAGTACTCAACCCAGGCACCAATAGGTAAATAAAACATTTATTTACCAATTGGTTTAAAAAAAAAAAAGATGGTACACTCGCAGAGCAATATCAATCTTGACGACATAACTTTAATTTATGGTGAGCGTCTTCAAAATGCTTGCGAAGCTTCGAGAGTGTCTGCAGATCGCTTTCCCAGAAGTTATCATTTAGGGCCGCGTTGATTTGTATACCATGTGCAAAGAGATAAGGATACAGGTCGAGGTGGGCACAGTGAGAGACCTAGACACCCCCGAATGGTTCAGACTAGGAAAGGAGTATTAAATCTTGTAGAAGAAAATCCTTCAACAAGTACTAGGGAAGGGGTTGTTGTAGTCCATATTGGTCACAGACGAATGAACCTTGACGCGTAACGGGGTGAATAACTGCCGAATTACTCATGTGTGGTCGCTGGAAAATCCTCATGTGGTTAATCGGTTACATTTTCAACAAACATTTTGTTTGAATGTTTGGGCTGGCATGGTAAATTGTATGCTCATTGGATCTACCATTTTTGCCGAATTGGTTGGATGGTTTACAACACCTAGACTCTCTGCGAAACTTTTTACCAACGACGACAACTTCGAACAGTACTTATACGTGACAGAGCCGCACTTGAAGTTTTTTTGCAAATGAACGGTGAGTACCTACTTCTTCATTTATTTTTTTTACGTTTTCGGTACTGTTCCACTACACATTACCTTTGTCATTTCAAGCGTAGTTGTGTCTGGAAACGAAAGCTCCAACCTTTAGTTAGTTTGATATTTATAGTTTTTTCTGGCGTTCCTTAGAATCTCATGGCTCTAAAGTGAGATCATAAAATTACCACCTTTAACGCAAAAACTTACTTTTGCCTTTCCTCAGAACTTGTTAAAAATGAAGTACTTTGAGTTAAATTTTCGTTTAGTTTACTTAGATTGAAGTTTCGGTTGGCCCTTTTAAGTATACATTAAAAATTTTGGTATGCCTTCCAATATATTTTTTAAATGTTGTTGCTAGCTATACATTTCTGTTAAGAAACCCTAGATTCTGACGGAATACTTAATGAAATAGGTGAAAAGGCCAATGATGAGGTACATTCTCTTTCGCAACGTCGAATATACAGGGTGACTTCGAAGTTGAGTCATTTATTTTAACAGTGAGTAGATCTGATCAAAAGAAATGTTTTTTTCCTTTACCATTTTTCTGGTAAAATTAAAGTAACAAAGTTATAGCCCTTTGGAAGTTTGAGTACCGCCCTGCCTATTATATGCTCGTGTTTGGTGACAACGGATATAATCCGCCTGACCGGTTCATCGTATCGGAAACAAAAAAGCGAAAGAATTTGAAACGTTTATCACGATGTTTTTCGTCAGTCGATAACGCGTAAGTGAATAGTAGTGTGTTGCGTGGCTCAAACGAAATCAAAAATGGCACATGTTTACGAAAATGCTGAACTTGTGGACATGATTCTTATTTACGGGGGGGCAGTCTTTACAAAATGCTCCCGGATGCATCACGGATTTATGCGAATCGGTTTCCCAATCGAGTGCAACCAACCCCTCGTGCCTTTGTTAATGTAGTACAAAGGGCTCGTGAATCAGGTGACTTAAGACCTCACAGGTGAGGGCATGCTGCTCCAAGACCGCACGATCAAATACAGGTCCGCACTGAAATACTTGTCGGGAGGATACTTTATTAAACAAGGTAACATTTTTTTTATTTTTTTTTTATTTTTACACACATATTTTGGTTTATCTTCCTTCTACAATCATTATCTGAAAATTAATGACTCAACTTCAAAGTCACCCTGTATAACACTTTTCGCTAAAAAGAATTGCTCTTAATTTAAACTTATTTAAACTGATTTTTCACAATGCACAGAAACCTCTACCATTTTCAGCGACTGTCTGGAGCACTAGGATTGTATGGACCCCACGCACTTTTACTTGTTTTCGCAGAAGTACGAGTTTAATGTGAAACATCAACAACTGTCAAACTGGAAGCTTAAGCCTGATCGACTTGTTAGTATGAACTTGGATCCTGAATACTGACTACATAACTTGGTCGACAAACAAATCGTATGCTTGCTATTTCTATCTAATCTGAATTCGTTGGTCGACATGGATTCAAACTTTGCAGTTAGCACAAGAGAAACAAGGTGTCAGCTTCGTATCAGCTTCATTAGCATATTCCTGATTTCTTGTACTTTAAGCTACAAATAAGAGCTTCGCAGTCGCAGACACATTAAATAACGCCGTATCAGTCGAATTTGTCTAAAAACATTCTTGGTTGCTCTCATTTTTTCTTTTCCGATATATTGTCCCTGTTGATCTAAACCAATGATGATATTGTAAGCTAAAAAATTATAGTTCGACTTTAAGTACCATTCAATCATCAGAACCATTTAATGAAAGCTTTATGTCAAAGGCTGTTTGGGTTGAACAGTGACCTCTGAGAGTAATTCCTATCGCGATTCTGCTGTTAGTTTTCGTAGATAAACTATTGCACACGAACACACACTATTCAGTGGACTCCTATGAATCTTTTTCTGATAAAGGCTGACTGATTTCTGATTCAACGTGACACGCCTGAGTCTTATTCAATCGCACTTAAGACTCCTATAACTCAATAGTCAAATATTAAAATGAACACACCAAAAATTACTTGCAAATTCTATCCCAATTGTTTTGGGATGTAACTAGACATCCGATTTAATCAAGAGTTAACGTTTGTTTGAGTTCTTGGGAAATGAAATCAAATCGCTTTAAAAATCAACAAGCTGAAAGTTGTAAAACAAAATATTACCTTCGATGCGACAAGAACTTCCCTGTCGCATGTCCTGATCCATCACAGCCCGGTATTGGGCATCTGATAGCGTGTAAAAAACCACATACTATATAGTAATTCTTGACAGTTTGAAACGGCAAACATATTCAACATTTATTGTTCATGGTAGAAGTTACAATTTTTTGGGATTCGGTCAACTTAAAACATTTATTAACAATATGACGTTTTGGTGACTTAAAACGCCATCTTCAGGTAAATGTGAGTTTCAAGAACTAAACAGAACTGTCAGAACTTACAACACAAAACCGTTAAAAGGGAAAAATAATGTAAGATTAATATACTTACAAGTTGGTCAAAGTAATTACATTTCTGCCAGATTAGATGTTGGTAGTTTGACTGTAGGTCAACGACTGGCGTTAAATATTTGCTAATAAAAACGAAAACAGAACAAAGGTAAAAAAAATGTACAAGAATATTATCTTTTTATATTGAGAGGGTGGTATGGGTGGGAAAATGCAACAACTACGTCCTTTTTATGAAATTGGCTTAGATACTAACTTGATAGATTATTTGTATTAGTTCTACTCGTATAATTTGTAGTGATAGTGTGGCGTAAGAGGTTTCTTTAGAAATAGTCCGGTTCTTTGTCTGGAATTTTTATATTTGTGAAAATGTAAAAATTCTAGACAAAGTACCGTACTATTCCAAAAGGAATATCCTTGAACTGATATGTATAAAGGAAGGCAATACCAGTATAAATTATAGAACTGATACAAATACTATATTTAGTACCTACAAAAATTTAATAAAAAAGAACGCAGTTATTGCATTCTTCTACCCATACCACCAGGTCATTGTAAAAAGATAATATTCTTGTATTTTTTACCTTTATTTTGTTTCATTTTTATTTATCGCCAATCGTTGAAATACACTAAAACTACCAACATCTAATCTGGCAGAAATGTAATTATTTTTACCGAATAGTAAGTCTTTCTGTATATTTATTTTACATTTCATCTTTTTTCTTTTTAAACGTGCTTTGTGTTGTAATTTATGACGCTTGCGTTTAGTTCTAGTTCACATGTACCTGGAGGTGGCGTTAAAAGTCGCAGAAACGAGGTATTTTTAATAAATAACGCTACATGGCAGTTATTGTAAGATGATGATTTTTTGGCTTATACATGGATTACCCTGAGACTAAGAAAATTCAATAGACGTAAAAATGAGAGTTAAATCTCCTTACACCTACTGTATGATGAAACTAATACTTCATTTAAACAACGTTTCATTCTTACCTTAGGGGTTCTGAGTCTTGTCCATCTCTAGGCTTGCTCTTGGGTTTGTTCGCCCTAGGACATCCAGACAGGCTTCTGTGTGAGGAGTAATTCCCGGTTACATGACCAGATCCATCGCAGCCAGGAGTAGGACATTTTAATTCTTGAGAGTGCGCCTGGATCTGAGAACGGTCCGCTCTTGGACAACCGGAGAGGCTGGAAAGTAAAATTATTATTAATTAAATTTTAGGTATTGCGACATGGGAACCAACTGGTGACGTCCATCTTGCTGGGTAGTCAGATGCATAGTCAGTTGAATCGTAAGATGAGTTTTATCAAATTCCGAAAATCTGTGAGTTTCGCACTTCACCTGCGTTTTTTTTTTCATCAAACCTAGGTGTAACCATCGAACTCGGACTAGGTAAAAGGAGTAAGTATACGATTTATTTGTCGCTAAAATAATGTAGTTAGTAGTCATGTTACAAGTGCATTCTATAAGACGATCTACCTTAAGCCGCCAGTTTGACACCTGTAGACATTTCACATTAAATTCGTACTTTTATGTAAAAACATAAAAATCTACGTCGGTTTCATATGGTTGTCGAAAATGGCGGAGTTTCCTTTTAAATAACATTTTTTCAAATATTTTTGGAATCGATAGTGGGATTTGAGTGAAATTTGGAACACATGCGGTTTGCTAGACGCCTTAATATTTTACTTTTACAAAAAATCGATCGAAGTCATTAAGCTATATAACTAAGGCGATTATAGTGGTATTCATAACATTGTAAGGACCTGACTCAGCGAGAATTTATGGCAGGGACTTCTTTGTGTTGTGACTACGCCTTATGGGCTGACCGTTGGATTGTAGAGTTGTAGAAGCGGTGCATTCTCGCAAAAGTGTTAGCGTTCAAATCAAGCTCTCAGGTTAATTATACATACTAAATCATCGTGTGATAACAATAATATGTTGCTTCCGTAAAGCATTATCAAAAACTTACAAGTTAGTACTGCTTTTGAAAACACTTTCTTATTGGTGGGCTTCTAGATCAATTTGAACAGGGGACAAATATTACCACTTGGGTTTCCAACGTTGAATAGTCTAGTTACTGAATCCACTACATTGATGTATACCTAATTTTAAATGTTATGTAAATTATATGAGTCTCTATTTGAGGGTACCTTAAAGAGAAAGGAGTTGATTACATACTAAAATCAGTTCTAGGTGTTTTTACAATTTTTTTAGACATACCATGCAGTGTTAACATCAAACACATTCCTGCAAAAGCAAAATTATTCAAACACCATTGTTTTTGACTGAAGCTGTTCTTCTGTTCGTCTATGTCTATGACATCGTAGCTTCTAAGTGGGTGTACCGATTTTTATCTGACATTTTTTTAGAGGCTGATAGATGCAGAGCGTTCTTAGTGATATGTCATAAGCTGTCGGATTTTTTGAGTTTAGCTCTTAATTATAAGGATCGTCTGAACTAAATTTTCAGTCCTACGATATTTCTCACGCAGCATTAGTGTATTATTGTTATCACAAGATTGGATGAGGTAAGCAGAAAAATCAATTGCTTGCCTTCTATGTGTGGCGTAGGTGCCGCTAACGTGTCCCATGCCATCGCAGCTGACAGTTGGACACTGAATCAGCTCCTTACCACCCCGGAAGTTGAATGGGCGACTGCTGCTACCCGAAATAGGTGATAGATGACGTTCAGGGATAGAGGGAATGCTGATGGCAAATGATATGAATCTCGTAAATCTCATAGCCTTTTGCTTACTATTTTTTAAACTACAACATGCTTTGCTATCACAAGTTCTGCATATTGTTGGTATTGGCTTGCTAGAGAGCCTAGTCGATAAGACATATTTATAAAAGCTACATATCTGCATGAAGGTAAAATCTATGTTTAGTAGCGAGTAAACTAGCTATCATGCGATCTACAACTAAGAAATTCTGCATTCACCGCTGGTAAGACTTTGGCACAATACAATAATAAGATAGGTTCTCAAAACAATTATTACGTTAAACTTCAGAGACAGCTGACAGTTATAATTTTATAAAAGTTAAAATTCACATTTACGTTTGCCGATCTGAATTCTCGAAGAGTGCACCACGGAAATAGAATAAAGGTATTCTTATTAACAATAGTCCCCGTCAGGAAACTCATGCAAATATGAATATATAAAATTGAACTAAGCACACAAAGATCATACCTTTCACAACTTTCCAGCATTGCAACAATGGTAACACTAGTCTTTGATTCAAAGTCTACGACTTAATGTAATTTCAAACGCTGTCAATGTCACGAAAATGTGTGACGTTTAAGATATTCGCATGGCATAACATGATGAGGTACCTGATCAAAAATATGTTTAACAACGTACGTATTTATAGTTGTAGACTGTCAGGAGAAACAATAATATCACATATAAGAGAAAAACTTGAATAATGCCTAAATGAGTAAGTACTAAATAGGCTAACTTTGACCTCTCCACGCAACGCTTTCATCATTTTATTAAATATTATGTTCGGCATAAGTTAACGGTTAACTACGTATGTATAACAAAGTGACCGGATGCGTTAAAGCGGTCAAATAGACCTACAAAATTGGTCTCCAGCCCCAGGCTAAGCTACCACCCCTGAGAAACCGGCTCTTCAAACATATTAGCGATGATACGTAATCGTTATGTACAAAAAGTTTGCTCTTGCAAATATGTCCAGTCGCCTCGCTGCTGCCACGCATGTCTGAAGTGCAAGCCTTTGAGCCAATGCGTCTGCGGCCGACAGGACCAGTACCTTCGCGATAAGACCATCTTTTTTTGTTCGTATGGACAAAAATACCGGAACATCTATGGGTAGAATGTGACTTTAGGCCCGTATCGTCAGTCGTCCCTACAATTGTAGGGCGCATTTATGGCCTCCTAGATTGTCATACTCTTTTCTCTCCTTCAAAAAGCGCTCTCCTATTGTGAACATATGTTTTCCTTTTAAATTGTAGGAAATTTCAGGCTGATAAAACATGATATAACTCAAAAGCAAGCACAATTTGATGCAAATAGATGTTTGTGACATAACCTCAAAATAGAGCGTTGACACGGAGAAGTATAAAACTATGACAATCAAGGAGGCCATAAACGCGCCTTACAATTGCAAGGACGACTGACGATATGGGCCTGAGGTGCGTAGAATCACCGGGTTTAAATGTGGGTACATAATATATGTACTATACTTCCGTCAAAAAATGGGAGACACACTTTCCCGACCTCGCAATCTCGTGCCCCCGACTTTTTTGTCACCCATCAAGTTTCGAAAATAAGCAAGAGCCTGTGAAACGTCAAAAAATAAGTATGAGCGATTTTTACTTTTTCTGACCAGATTATTGAAAACTACACCGCCTTTTCGCCTTTGGCATAGTGGTAAACTTGTGTCAAACTTTCGGCAGAATTTGAGCGGTACTTTCGAAAATGTAGAGGACAGAGAGGCCGTTGACAATAAGTGATGTAATGGATTATCTCAAAAACATATCTGATTTTCAAAATTTTTCTCAGTACAATAATTCCTGGTCAGTGGAAAGTAACATCATCAAAATAACCCTCAATTGTCCCTGAGAGCCTTACGTAAAGTTTGAGCTTAAATTCAGTCACTTGATCTTAAATATAATGATTTTTAACCATATTGTTCCGCCATAAAGTAAAACTAAATTTAATTAAGTAAAAAGTGACTTTAGCTTTTTTTATTTCTTTCATTTAATTTCAAAATGGCCAACGTAGAGGATGTTTACAAATGACCTTTCTTCAATTAGAAAGACTAACTAGACTAAAAGACTAAAAAAAAGCTCAGGGTGCAGAAGCAGTGGCGACGCGTGACTTTTCCTAAACTGTTACCAAAATCAGATGTGAAAAATCTTATTAAAAAAAGTTTATTTTGATCCTCCCAAATATAAGTTTTTGCTTATTTAAGGTATTTTATTTAAACTATATTTAAATTAAGGTATACATTCCTGGACTGAGCGTCTGGGGCACTTGACATACCTCATCGTCTTATGCTACGACTAATCCAAGCCGTCCGAAAAAGCAGTCGACGTTTCTAGATGATTTTTGATCTTTTTTGGCAATGAATGTTATCAATTCTCTGTAATTTCCTCTATTGTCAGAGTCATTCATTTCAAAATAAACGGTAATTCCTGTTTTGCCAAAAAACATACAGTATCTAGAAGTGTGCTGCCTAAAAGCTTGGTTAAGACATTTTTCGATTCTTGTTTTACCAAACTGAATTAAATTGGCTACACATCTCACATGTAACGGAGAAATTTCATGTCTCCTCCTTAGAGCCCTAAAACTACTTAAATCGTTGACTACGCTGCTGGTCCACCCATTTTTTTCTGTATAAAACAGAAGACATCGCCAACAATACAATCTGTTTTTTTTGCAACCACATAACCAAGAGTTTCCACATACCAACTTAATTTAAAATATGTTGGTCTTCCATTTTCAATGATCTTCTTTTTTTCTTAAAAATTATACAAGGAGAATGACTTTTTGAGTAGTTGATCGATTACGCAGCGACACTCAGCCATCTTCAATTGCACGCACACTACAGCCGGTAACTAAAACGGCTACTAACGAGTGAGAAGTGAGTAACTAAATCAAAAAATGGTAACAAGCCCACATAATAGTCGCAGCGCCCCACGTACTCGGGCGACCGCGATCAGACACGGGCCGACGGTCCCCGACGGACTACAAAGTGTATCCATAAATGAAAATGGTAACAACCGACAACCAACTCGAGGCGAGTGCTATTTACTGAATTACTATTACACATCGCTGATGGTAAACAAAAAAATGATATTATTTCACAGTACTTAGTCATAAAATATTTATTTTTAAGATTTTTAACTGTTACCAATAGTAACAATGGTTACATGGACGCTTCGTCACTGTGCAGAAGTGAAGTATAGCGAATTGCTATAAACATTTTTAACTAACAGCTTGTGTGGTCAACAGTTTAGGGACTCTCACGAAGGAAATTATGGAAACAACTGTTTGAAATCTTTGTTGTGCTGCGTTTGCTGATGGAGATGATTCAATGAACAGTGGAAATAGTTGAAGGGCAGAAAGCGCAAAAAAATATGGGAAGTTCTTTAAAAACAAGAGATACTCTGTTTCGGCGTACAGAGTAGTAAACCTGGTATTAAAAAATTGATACAAACATCAAATCCAGGGGATAGATAAATGTTTGAATTCGAACCCACATACATATAAACCTGGAGCATCATTAGGATACCTGAATAGAAAACAATGAATCTAGTCAAGAGGCTATATTATGTTTATAGTCGAGTACATTTTCTTGTAGTCATCTTTTTCTAAATGACACGGCATAATGCTCATAAACCTAATCTAGTAAACAAATTAAAAATAAACATGCCAAAAATAAAATATAACATACCCATCCTTCCCAGGCTGCTTATCATGCTGTCCCAACGAATGCTGAGGCGGCGGCATGCTGTAGCAAGCTCCGGGACTATACCCGCCTGGAGTGGGCGGTACCGGGTAACCGCCAGCTGTGGTGACCGCTCCCGGCGGTGGTGGGGGGTACCCTGCGGCCGTACAGGGGTAGCCGCCCCCCGCGCCGCCTCCTGCTGGAGGGGCATATGGAGAGGCGTAAGGGGCTGCAGAGGCGGCGCTAACTGCGTATTCTGCCGCAGCTGCCGCTGCAGCTGCCGCCGCCGCTGCTGCTGAGGATACTGGCATGCCGTAGCCGGGGTGGGGGCTCATTGGACCGTAACCTGAAATGAGGAAGGAACGTCAAGATTTGAGCAGATCAAAGAGTAAGGTAGATACAGCAAGAGTTAATAGCAATTTAATAGGTTTCTTCGGGTTTTTATCGTTACTGTTCTAGAACTATCAGGAGCATGCGCAGAAGAAACCGACGTGTTCGGGTTTCTGTTGGATTACTATCGAACCGTTTTAGAACTGAAATTTGGTGTTCGAGTTATATCCTGGTTCAGTTCTAGGATGGTTCGAGAATCGTTCAAGCAGTTCTTGCTTTATTGCCAAGACCATTTTTGAACTGATTTCTCACGCATGCGAATGCCTTCTGCCAATGTCATTAAAATTATTTTAAGTGTTTTGCTTTAAGTGCTGTTCACTTTTTTGGGGTTTGAGGAGTGTTTTTAATTTAAAATTGAAAGAAAAGTAGACAAATGGATTCAAGGCAGATCAATTTTGATTCTGATTCGTCATAGTGATCGTCGTCTGACAGTGACGATGAACTTGAAGCTGTTACTCCAACTTATTTTTGCCAGAGCTTCTCCTCAAAGATGTGAGCAGAAATAATAATTTCTTTGAGGAAACTGTTGCTTCCTATACTGACAAACAATTTGTTGAGCATTTTAGGTAAGATATTTTTTATCCAGCAAATCAACTTCCTGAAGACCCAGGGCCACCTGAAGCACTAAACAAAATAATAATTGTTGCCGTTGTCCTCGGATTTTGGCAAAATTCTGATAGTTCACGGACTGTTCGTAACCGCTCCAGAGATCTTCCTCTTTACGCATTCAGTCTTGCGCCGTTCCAGAACCGTTCTGTGACAGTACTGAATTCAGAACTCAGCTAATATGTAACACCTCGCTACTTTTTCAGTCTTGTGTATGAACATATAGTCGAAATCACCAAAGATGACGATTACGTCATCATTTTAGTCTGTAGTAAAGACAAACGACAGCGATTAGTGAATATATTTAATGAAGTTTGTGATATGTTAGACAGAGACAAACAGAATTTTATTGTCTAAAGTCTAAACAAACTGTATTGCTAATTTGCATGTATCCGACAAAGACAGACGATGTTTTCATGTTGCATGATCGATCATATTTGAAAGATGAATAGTTAGGTTATGTTAAAGCAGGTTATGTTGTTTTCGAATAATACTTTGGTCTTTGGTGTTCCTGTCTTAAGGTATTCTACTCATAACGGTTTCTTCAAAACAAAAACTCGCCACTAAAGTTATTATTAAGGTATCACTCAAAACCATGAAATAAAATGAAAATCAAAATAATCAGTTAAATAACCTAACTTCGCAAAATTATAATATAAATTTGTTGTCATTATGTTCCTGACATCGTGATTTTATCATCGACGTACGTCCATTGTATACAACTTACGACTTAGACCTCCAGTAATGCCATCTCCGAAGCAGAACTTACATTACATCAGAGCCAAACATTGATAACTGAACCATCATGATGTTTAGGCGACACGTACAACTACAAAACCAGTTCACAACATGTCCATCAGCTAGTGCTAAGTTAACATTTTGCAGAAAAACCTACATAATGTTACAAAAAACCAATACAGTGTCAAAAAATGGCATAATTTCACTTTTCAAGATTCGTATACAATATTTCATGGGTATCCATCACGCTTTGACGTCTACTGAGGAGAACAGCTGATCAGCAACAGACATTTTTGTGTTAGTCTGCAACGTTAGCAATAATGGATCGGGTATAAATCTGGTAAAACTTGTTTTTGGTGTTTTATTTTTTGTATGCAAATGAACTTTTCTAAACAAAAGAGCTATTAGCAAGAACAAAATGAATCTGTCGCGTATAAAAAACCAAAACAAAATTCGGCACTGTTTACTGGCGGTGACGGATCCGTCAGAATTATGTGTCTTGTGCCGATATGGGGAATTTTGAGATATTACTAGATAATCACCGTGATGGATACTCGTGAAATAGAGTATAATACCCGTGCGGATTGTGGTTATATAACGTACGTTTTGATTCATCTTGAGGTACTGTTATTACAAATGCTGATAGCAAAAATTTACAGATAAGTTTTCTTGGACGTGCACATTTCTAACTTTTTATTTTCCTTTGCTCTTTAGTCACGTCCGAATGACTTTAGCGGTTACATAATTTTCTTGAACATGTGTCCACATTCTTGACAAGGTCGGAAGGCGCTTCTTGGACGGTTAAAATAATTTCTGTTTAATCGGAAAATATGTAAATAAACGTATGGGAAGGATGTGTCAGTCTAATAGACACAATTTTTCAGTCATCCTCAAGCATCGCGCACAATAATTCTGCGTATTTACTGTGCAAGAAAAATCGATTAACAAAATGGGGGCGATAAACATGTCAGTGACGTGACGCCTATGGCTGCTTTCAGTTTCCTTTCCCAAGTCTAAATTTAAATACTGGACCCCTCATCATGAAAGTAAAGTAAGTATTATTTTCGCCATCACCACATTCTAATGAACGTAGCATTCAATATGATTATGTGTTTATTGTATAGCTATTGTTTATGGATATGTATACTACTGTTCATACACACTGCATGTGTTCCCGGTGTTTAATATTACTAAACTTTTATACAACATAACCTCATCCTATCAAAATAAATCTTCTGATGCCATATAGGTGTTTAGGTAATTTTAATCAAATAAATATAATTATAAATAAACATACCTTCAGTCTTGAATGGCTTTTCTGTTTATTGTGTGTATGCTATACATTGCACTACAAACAAAATTTATGATAGTAACGAGCGCATAGTTATAAATTATTTCGGTAAATTTCCGCGTATTGCATTGGTGTTGAATTCATAGTCATGCCAGTGGCGTACAGTAAAACTTGTTTTACAACATGGGCCTGATTCTAAATGAGTCCTTAGTCTTTGAATTATGACTTTATACTTGATTTGATTTTTACATATGTTTATATGGATCTTTTATGTTTAAATTATCATGGTAGTGTGAAGATTATCATAACGAATCAAATATATCGTCTCCAGGTGCCATCGAATTTGATTTCAACGGTCGAAACTGATTTAGAATCAGGACCCAGATTGCAATTATTATCGGTCATTGCAAATAGCAATTTCCATATTTTTTTCAAACATGTGTTGGCATATTCTGAGAATAATAATAATAATACTTTATTTACATTAATCATGATCAACCATGTAAGGATAAATTAGTTCTTCTTCAAATAGTCTAGCGTGATAGACGTTCATTCATCAATGATCATCATCAGTCAATCATTATTCTTGAAAGTTATAAAAATCAGGTACACATTTTTCCTATGATACATTTTTGTTGTACCTCTCCAGTCTCTCGAAATTTTTAGGCCAGAATTAACCTCAATGTCTGCAAATCAATAGCCACATCTAAAAATTGTTTTTGTATTTTTTTCTGTTCTTTTGTCAGTTCACTGTCTGTAAATCTTGGCATTTTAAATCGATTTAATAAAAATTTTGATTCTAATCTAGTAATTTTACACTGCTAACAATGTCAGCTTAACGTCAAAATAAGTCATAACAAATCAAAACAACTTTTGTTTGCAGTCATGGCTAACTATGAATAATCAACAATTAATTTAAATTCGCAGTACATTTTCTATCATGTGACAAATTTTTTAGTTTGATTTCATTCAAAAATGGCACAATTTATCGATATTCAATAGGATATTCAATAAGAGTACCTTTTTATGTAAAAAGCCCAAAATTTTCAAATTCTAGAATTGAATTTCAATAACAGAATCACACAAAAATTCTGGGGCTAAAATAACCTAAATCCGTCCCTGTTACATATGCTTCCAAACAAAACTGCCTAAAGTTAAATCCAGCATAAAAAACTAGGCTAGAATACCAAATTTTATGTCATTATCTCAACACGTTTCGGAAATATTAAGGAAAAACCATCTTCAGGGGAACCCCTTTAAAAGACCGTAGCGCCCTTAGGGGACGTCTGTCGACCTATGTTTATATAAACTTTTCTTCCTATTTTAAGCTCTAGAAACCGCTGGTAGATTATTGCACACTTTTTTCGGGTATATATATATACCAAATAGAAAAATACTGGTCCAAATTCGCAGAAAGAAGGAAAGTGAATTCGAGAAGAAAATAGGATAAGTAACCCAAGCGATACGTATTTCTGCTGGTTGGCTTCATCAGGCCCGAAATGAATGCACATATGCAACTACAAACGTAGATTCTCATGCCCATGCATCCGGATACGGGTGTAATTTGAGGAAATAAAGTTGCAGAGGAAAGAAAAAAAAAATGGTACCACATATATTATCACTGTTCGATATATGTCCAGAACGGAATATGGGTATTTGACCAAAAATCACAAATTCTACAAAGAGTGATCGGAAAGAGCAACTGAAAATGTCTAAAAACCACGTGGTACGAAAATGTTACAGGCTTATTTTGTAATGCTGAATGTCTCATCTAAGCGAACCAGTGGCTATTGAACAAATGAATGCTGAAGAAGATATATTTGTACCTGCGGGATCCCTATAAGCATCCATGTAGTGGCTACCTCCCGAATCAGGTGTCGACTCTCTGCTGTACCCAGATGGTGCTGTAGGGGCTAATACTGGACCACCTGAAGCAGCTGTTGGTGCAAAAGTCACCACGGGTCGTACGCCTCTGCAAAATAAAAAAGAGCTTTTCAGTACGATTCAAATAAGTGGTATTATCTCCTGAACCATAATAAGGGTATGGTAATGACTTTGTTGAAGAACATGAGCTGCTGATAGTGTGTGATTTTCAATATGAAGAAAAATAGCTCGACTTAGCGAACACCAGTGTGATACTGCAGGAATTGCACCATGTAAATGGATACAGTACTTCCACGCATCAATTCAGCTGTCTCCAAATAAGGGATAATAAAAAACGTGTTACTAAAAATGTTTCCTCGCAAAATTTTGAACGTGAATGTAGATCAGCCTCGAAAATAGAATAGTATTTCACAAGCTTTTTGAGAGAATTATTACGTTAAAATGATTAGACAGTTCAGAAATACCCGAGATTACTAGCACTATAGCAGACCGGTAACTCAAAAATATAGCTTTGAAACAGTGAAATAATGTTATGATAATATGGACTGAAAATTCGCCAGATATTTTATGCTTTGTAACTTTATGCGGCAACCACGCAATGCTATTGGAAAAGGTTCTGACAGAAGTTACGGGATGTCCAGAAAGTTATTTGTTGATGACCTCAAATATGACCTAGACACTGACCTTTGAGGTCATTTGGAGGTCAAATTTAGAAGTTGAAATAGCAACTATCATTTTGATAGCAGAATCGTGTAGATAATGAAATTCTACATCGTACTGCATTAAGTGGTCATAAATGCATTGATGTGCCGCCCAAATTATGGTATTGGAATTTACAAACTTTACCTCCAGGTACCCCCTGAGGCCATTATGTAGATCACATCTGGGGTCTTTGATAAATTGCTTTATTCTATACTGAAACTATTTATAGAGCCTTTTTTCAGAAAAACGCATGGTTGTCTAGCTTTCGTGACGTTTGTGTACTTTTTAAACGTTACAGTAGGTCGTACTGACTGGACCATTTATAACCACTGGACCTCATGTTTGAATATGCACTCGGATGTATAATCTCGATCTCTACACGAATCTGCTGTCAAAAATGGTGGTTACTATCTGGATTTACGAGCTTGACCTAAAATTACCTCTGGCAATTAATTAAGTCATATTTGAAGCTATCGACAAATTGCATTTTTGATATCCTCAAACTGTTGTTAGAATTTGTTTTCCAAAAAATATGTAGCTGTCGAGTACACACACACATGTGATTTTTTTTAGAATCGTACATGATCCCAGGGGATCTTGCTAAATAGTGAAGGATATTTCAGTAGGGATCTCAAAATTCTGATTTAGTGGATCACTGTGTCAAATGTCAAGTTTGGTTATTTTACATTTTACTTATAAAGCAAATGTAGCAAATGTCAATGTCCTTGAAAATAATTTTACTGTAATTGTAAATCTAATGTCTCCATTCCTCATTATTCCCAATTTAATTACTATAAGCCTCGAAGTCAAACCCTCATAGTTAACTCCCCCAAAACTATTCGACAGGTGTGCTGTATAGTTAATGGTAGAACGCCCCAGGTGGTCGCTAATTTACCTCTAAACGGATGTGACGGCCACTTCCTTTCTATAATAGATTGCGTCGACCCCTTAATCTTTAACGAGTGGCTGACCAGTCAACCTTCATGACCTTAGGATGTTAACGTAGGCGATACAGTCCAGATTTGCGACACGGTTATACGGAGCGGTTATTTACTGATCATTCCGTATGTATTCAGAGACAAGTAGACGAAATTGGTAGTACTCAGGAAGAAAGTAGATACCTATTTTGGTCAATATTTCCATAAATCATTTATATTTCATTATCTGGACAACGATGCTATGTGAAGGGTGGTGGAATTTTGATTTTGGTATCTTTAATCTAATAAGGGACTTACAGTCTTGAACAGAGTATTCTACATTTATTTAACGTGGCGATTTTCGAATACATTTTAAGACCAAAAACTTTATAAATGCGCAAAATTGTTTTAAAGAAAACTTTGGTATTGTGATCAACAAGTCATAAAATCTGACGGCCAAGTGAAAACTGTTGCTAAAGGTGCTACACTACTTGACCCTTTTACGTTAGATGAAAGCACTCTATATTTCTTATATTTTTTTTTCGTGAAAACCGTAACTCGGCGGAAAGAAAATCAATACACCAAAGTTGCTCAAAAATGAATTATAATTATAAAGATATTTATTTGTTACGAAGTACAGCAGTGACTTTTTTTGAAACTATATAGCTCAAATCCCGCACGATTGAATAGAAAAAATGCTGTTCTTAAAATGAAATCATGAATCGCATCCTTAAAAATATTACCCTACTTCTGAAACATCTTGTTTATTGATTACTATATAGACTTGTAGTTGATCATTCTAAGAACCCTCATTCATTTTATCTTTTATTAGAATTTGTGTGTACAGGGTGTTATTTAAGTACGTATCCAAACTCCAGGAAATGATTCTTTGAGTAATTTTAAGATGAAAAGTTTATATAAACCTAGGTCCAGAAATGCTTCATTTTCAAGATAAACTTTTTAAAAAAAATCGGTTTTTCCTAAATATCTTTTTTCAAATTAAGCAGCTAAAAATACAACTTTTTTGTCTCCCCAGTTTTTTATATCGCTTCTTTGCGAGATAAAAAATAAAAAGACCTTAATTGCATGTCCCTGGGATAATAACATAATAAAACATTGAAACCACCATACTAACATTAGACGAAAGTCATCCCTTGAGTTTTTTCGCACATATTCAAAATTAATTTCGATAAAACAAAATAATATATAATCGCATAACGTAATAATTTATAACAGCAATATTTTAAAAGTAACAAAAAATAAGAGCGCCATGAAAGAAAAAACAATTGCTACTCAAACAAATCTGTGTGCAGTGCTTAAGTAATGATAGTAATTAGTTGAATCGTTTTTAAGAGTTACCCTAACCAATATCTTTGACAAAAAAATTGTGCGCCACTGACTTTTTTCAATTTTGCAATTTCTTTCGAAGAAGCTAAAAATACAACTTCTTGGTCTCCTGAGAGAATGTGGAACGCCACTGGCAAAACATTGCAACAGTAAATTACGTTATGTAAATAATATTTTATGTTTATTTGTTTTATCGGAAGCAGGTATAATCTGAGTAAAACAATTAAAAGACGACTTTCGTGTAACTTAATTATCAAAAACATGCAATAAAGTGCTTTTTATTTTTTATCTCGCAAACGGAGCGAGATATGGAAGAAACTGATGACCTAAAAAAGTTGTACTTTTAGCTGCTAAATTCGAAAAAATAGAAAAGTTGTAAAAAGTCATTCGCGCACAAATTTTTTGTCGAAGATATTGGTTAGGGCGTTTTCCGGGACGCCACTGGACTTGATGATTTTAAACTAATAGGGCCTAAATTAGCCCCTTACTGCATTTATTACTACTGCAGAATTTGAACAAAACCGACTGAAAGTTTATTAAGATATTCAGGAAAAACCGATGTTTTAAAAAAGGTTGACACCCTATATCTTGAAAACTAAGAATTTCTGGACCTATGTTCATACGAACTTTTCATCTTAAAATTACGCAAAGAATCAACTCCTGAAGTTTATATTCTGAAGAGGTAATTTACCTAACAAGGGGTAATAGTATCAATATTTTTGTAGCCTCGTAGAAAAATATGTTCAGAATCAGTGTTAAAAGCATTTCGGGATATGACGGACAAAATGAAGACTGAATAACTTACCCATGGGAGAGTCGACTGACGCTAAGGTCAAGTGTTTGTCCTTGAGGACTTGGGACTTGAGGGCTTGCTGATAGATGAGGACTGGCTGCTGCTTGAGGGCTGCCACCAACTCTTTGACCTCCTGCACCACCATAGTGAGGTGAACTATAAGCCACCTAAAATATAAGACGTGCAGTTATAGATTGGCATAGCAATGCTATCGCTACAGAGAACAAACGTTAATAAATACTATGATTATAAATTTTGTTGATGCTTAAAAATATTCAATTTCATGGGAAACATTAAAAGTTAACTTTCTACAGGAAAATCGGATGTTCAACCATCTTCGATGATGTAAACTACTTTTTTAGATTGGTTTATTATATAAACAGAACAATGCTAACTTGGGTTTACAACTTACCTGCGGACTGGTACTAGTCACACTGGATGTACTCAGGTCGATAACAGTGCCTCCAGGGGAAGTGTGAGGTCCTTTCAGAGCCCCCGTGTGTGTCGTGACGCATTTCACTGACAGGTTGATGGCAGAAAACCCCACTGGGAGTGTTCCGGTACCGTCACTGGTAGGCCCACCCCCTGTACTAGCTCCTCCGCCCCCTCCTGGGGTGCCACTACTGGTTTCATATTGGTACATGGGTCTGTGGATCGGAAAAGAAAAATAAAACTTAATGGAAAAAGGGTAGTTGCATGTGAAAATGTTTATAAAAATTTTATGAGATTAAATCACTAAGTGGCTAAAATCTCCACGACCAACTCCACTATTAGAAACACCTCTTGTGTCAGTTTGCTCGATTTTGAGGTTTTACGAGCGCGACGGTTCGTCGGACATACAAACACGCTTAACAGCAGCATGTATAATTAAAAGAAAATTAACTTGAAAAATATACTAACACAGCATTCTTGAAATAAAGTTACGGTGAGGTAGTATTACTTCCCTAGTATACTTTAGACAATACTTCAAAGTCAAATTTCACTAACTTCAGCGTATTAGTACGATGGATATACGTTTTTACTAGTTACCTCACATGTTCAAAAACATTTATCTATTGAAAAAACTACTAACTAATACGTGAAATAATTATTAAAAATGCAGTATAACACTCAGCAAAGTCAGTAGCTTAAAAACATTTTTCAATTCTTCTTCTGCAGGGGTTAAAATATCCCGGTTTCAACAGCAGTTCTGTAGGTTTAACTACCATAGTTTTTTATGTGTTGGTCGTGGTATTCTGTCCCAAAATTTGGAGTCGATAGTTTTGTTTGCTTCGGGGATATATTTTGATTTCATAAATTGTAACTGTTTCTCGGTAAGAGGACATACACAGTGCGACAAATAATTTTTGATACTGGGCCTATCAAATAGGATTCAGACAACATATTTTCATACTTATTGTTCCATTTATTCAATATAATCTCCTTTTGCTTTAATACACTTGTTGTTACATCGATTTAAAAGTGATTCAAATGCCTGATCCAGCTCATTTTGTGTATGTTCATTGGAAACTTCCAAGTCACTTTTTTGTACAATTCATACCCTAGAAATATCGCTACAGTGCTCTAAATCACCTCCTATATTTAGAACTAATTGGTATGATTGCCTCTTTAATCTTAGGGTATAAGACATTTGAAGCGGACCTTTCCGATAATACAGGGTGGCCAATATATAACTGACTGATTTAAATTGCGCGACATTTTTGTCACACGCATTTCAGTAAGTGGCGTCGTAATAGTTGTTTAAAGCACTTGTGTCGAATTCATCATGGAGCGCTACACGATCCCACAATGCGTCCGTATTGATAAAACCTTTTACTTCAATTCTGAGTCGATTATTGCAACGATTTGGAAGCGACGACAAGATTTCGGTCGAAATAATGTGCCCAGTGCCAACACCATTCGTCAGTTCGTGCGGAAATTTGAACAAACAGCTAAAGACTTGCCAAGATCGGGCCGTGTTCGAACTGTTCGTACTCCGGAAAATATCGAGAGAGTTCGTGAAAGTGGAGCGCCCTGAGATGTCTACCAGACACCGTTCTCAACAACTGGGTATTCTTCGCACGTCATTATGCACTATTTTGAAAAAAGACTTGCGGCCATACAGAATTCAGTTAACCCAAGAACTACAGCCTAGTGACCATAAAACTCGCCAACAACACAGTCATGCAATAATGCAGCTTAATACCCAGAATAACGATTTGATCAACGACCACTACATCCTCGTCGAGTCACAGTTTGGTGTGGTGTTTGGTATGGAGGTGTCACTGAACCTTTTACTTCTCTGAAGATGCTGCAAATAATCCTCTTACTGACACTGGCGAGCGCTACCGTCGTATGGTGCAAAACTTTCTGGCTCCTCAAATCCAATAATTTAACCTACAAAACATGTGGTTCCAGCAGGACTTGTCACACAGCTAGGTAAACAATGAATATTTTGCGAACAATATTTACGGGACGTTTAATTTTTCCATTTGATGATGTCAACTGGCCACCAAGGTCACCGGACTTAACGGCTCCTGACTTTTTTATGAGGATTTTTTAAAAATAGCGTTTATGCCAACAAACCAAATACTGTAGAGCAGCTGAAGAACAATATTACGGAAGCAATTGAAAATATTCCTCCCGAAACCTACCAAAAGGTGATGGAAAATGTAATCAAGAGGGCTCAGGTTTTGCACGGCTTCTAGAAACGGACATTTGTCTGATATTATTTCAGTTACATTTCGGCCACCCTGTATAATCCTTAATCAATTCGAAGCAGATATTGATTATTCTCACCTCCTCAGTTACGATACTTACTTTTTTACGCTTTGACTTTGAAACTGACTGTAGAAAATATTGTACAGAATGACTGGCTTTCTAACAGCCGAACATTTGTAGATTAACATCCATCATTTGCGAATATACCTTGTTCAAAAATAAAATCACAGCTCATCGACTCGATTCTCAAATAGAGCAGCTAAACTACTAATCTATAATCCGTGCTCCTGAATTGCTGCTTTTCGCCTACCAGCATCACTACAGCTCCATTGAGTTCACCAAACCATACCTTTTTAACAATTTAAAATAACTTGCTTACCTTGGATACAGTGGTCCGGTAGGTTCTTGGTCTTCCTGCTTCATCATACTCTGTGCATTAGCGACAGCAATTTGGTGTTGCTGAGCAGCTGCTTCCTGCGCATATCTTTGGTCTTGAGGCTCTTCCAGATATCCATACATACCCTGTGGTGGCACCCTAGGAGGTCCTAGAGGCTGTTGTAGTGACACACATTGGCCCGAGTCGTACCTAGAGAAAATATAGTATCTACGATCGGTTAAAGCTTCCTTCACACATTGATATCAGCGGAAAGTCGAGATTCGGGTTTCAAAGATAAAATGAATCTTATTATTTATTGGAGAATAAAAATCTTTTTCTAAAGATGAACTCATTTTTCTCTCAACTATAACTGCCAATGCCCAATCTATTTGGGCTACCAACATTTCTGATGTCTGGGAATAAAAGTATTTCTGAGTGAAAAAAATATCATAAACACAATTTAAAGTAGTATACTCTTGAAGTCAGGGAAAATTTTCGTAAGCCATATCAGATGGATTTCAAGTACTTTGAGAAGGGATTTCTTTTATTTAACTTGGCATTATTTTCATGGATATTAAATAATAAGTGCGTTAAATACAATTACCTAACTTGTCCCGCATTTAACATTCACTGTGATCCTTACAGTTTTCCAAAATTATATCGAAAGTTTGAACATTTCTTTTTTCTGATCCACCTTTGACCATTGCATCGCAATTTTTATCTTCGGTAAACTACTCCTTCACATGAGTAGGTTTATATTGCTAGACAAAAGTCAAAAGCACAAAATGGACATTTCCGTGATTGTGGGTATTAGTTTCAAATTTCCAGACCCAAGGTACAAATTGAATCTTTCAGAAATACTGCAGAGATGTATATTTTATATTGTCCTAAACACCGCAAAAATAGCTAATATTTTAGTGTTAATGCTAAAAATTCCAATGGAAACAAATCATTATTTCAAATATGAAGAAAGATTTTGTCTTACCTCTCAAAATTGTTGCTGCCTGGATCATAAGGCCTGTGACCTGCATTGATCATAGACGAATCATATGATCTATTAACTATTTCATTGGAGTAGGTAACCACGGGTCTAGCTAAACCGTCATTCATTTCGGCATATGATCTTTCTCTGTGATACATCTCTTCTGACATCGGCGATTGATGGTAAGGTGATCTGTGTTCTATGTTATACCTTTATAAAGATAAAAAATGGCGATTTAGCTTTTTATGCAATAATTATTCATACTATAAGTTTTAGATAGACTAAGGTAGGTGGAGCATCGACGGTCACTATTCCAAATAAACAGTTATCAATTGCTGGATAAATGGAATAATCAAATTATTAAGAAGCTGTTTTAGTATGTATGCTACATTTTTTCATTGATAATTATTAATTGAATTTAAGTTTTTTTAAACTTTCCACACGGACTTGCATTGAACAAGGCTCTATACAAGGCCAATATGATAAATCACCACCCATATAAACTTTCATTAAAATAGAACAATAAATATTTACAATAATATATTCTCATAAAACATACTACTTGAACACCACCGTAAAACTAATATGAAACTAAGAATGGAATCGTGAAAATGTTTAAAAAATATTATAATGTGTATTATATCCATACCAAATAATTTGCAATGAACTAAAAAAATAAACCGAAAATTGCGTTCTCATGGGTCCGGTCCTTGTAAGGCCAAGATGTTACATGTGGCGTTAGAAATCTACAATTAAGGAAGTACTGAAATAGTATTTAAAAACCGCTACAATATACCCAAATAAGCACTACGTATTAATACTTTCGTGATACTCAGATATTCCTAATGAGGCGCTTGCACCTTAGCAAGGCCAACTGCCAATTGTTTGATTGGAGTCACAGAGCTTCCTAGGAACACTACCGATATTTTAACTAAAATGGAAATAAAGTAACATTTTTTACTTTAGCACTATAGTAGGTATATACTTACATTTCAATTGAAAATAAAAGAATTGAATTTAACAATGGTTTATTTACCTGGCCTAAGGTTTTGCTGAGAGCTGGTGTTGTAATTTTATCGTTGACGACCGAAGACAACAAAGCGAGGGACCGCATTGACTGAATAACGCCGTGAGTGATTTGTCGTCGCATCTGTATACTTGAGTTCGATAAGTGATAGTGCAAGTAGAAGAAATTTGTCATCACCTGATATAGACTAACTAATAACTTAGACCTTTTGATAAGTAGCCAATATGATAAATCAGTCGTTTAACTTAAAACTAACGTTGTTATCAAAATAACTGTTAATATTACTTAAACTACGTAAAAAGTATTTCATAAAGGCCGAATAATAAATATAGTAAAATAGGAGTATTCCAGCATGGTCCACCACCTTATTATTTCGTCCCTTTAATGCAAGAGTAGCCTATGTGCAAGCGTGCAATTTCACAGCAGATACTTTATTTTACACGCTTGTAAATCAAAATCATTCCAATGATATTGAACAGTGGTACTTCGTTTTCAAACTTCACTTGTTGAGAAGAGATCGTGGAATTGAGATATTTAGCTGCTTTAAATTAAGTTTAAAATCAGTAGACCACAACTAGTCTAAATGTCGTATTACTAACATTGTTTCTGTTGAAAAGTTATGTCAGAACTACGATATATTAGGTTAGGTTATGTTTCTTGTGAGTGCATCAGTAACGATTCTCCACTGCGACTCTTTGGTCTATTATGGCTCACACCTATTTATATTTCCCCCAGTAGCTCCGACCTCCTGAGGAAGTCGATTAACTTGTTTGGAGAAATATCCTTCAAGGCTTCTGCTTGGAATACTACGTCCCCAAGTATGTTGTACCTGATTCTGACAATCGCATTGCATCTGCACAATACATGCCTGACCGTTTCATCTCCCTCCATGCACAGTCTGCACTCGGCGTCTTCCGCCATGCCCAGCCTGCTCATGTGGTGTCGCAATTTGCAATGACCAGTGTACAGTCCTACTAGAGCTTTAAGGCTATTCCTGTTCAGCTGTAGCAAAGAGTCTGTTACCTTCTATGTCAAGATTGGTATAGTTCCCTTAGAATGGGTTAACCCTGATAATCCCTCCCAGTATTGATGGATCTTTCTGTCCACCTCTGCAGTGATTATTTGTTTAGCCGTATTGTATGTGCTCAGGCCCTATGAAGGATGTGCTTGCCTCACTCTTTGCCAGAGTGTCAGCTGTCTCGTTTCCCTCTAGACCCGCATGTCCCTGGTATCCATATGAGATGGACTTCATTTCCCTCCCCTATGCCACCGAGAGCTTCTTTGCAATTCCACACTAATTTCAATGTCGAGTAGGTGGAGTCAAGTGCTTTAAGTGCCGCGTGACTATCTGGAAAAATAATTATAGTTCTGTGTCTCAGTTGTCATTCTGCGATCGTTCTGGCATATAGCTCTGCATGGAAGATCGATGCCTAGGTTCCTAGGTTAACAGATTTTTTAATATTTAGCTTCGGCACAAAAATACCAGCTCCAACACCTATCTCGGTCTTGGAGCCATCTGTGTATGCACAGATATCTTTCCTTATCAGGTTGTTATCTTTGGCATAATATCAGAAGGCATTCCCAGTCTGGGGTGGTTTTGTAAGTTCACCAGCATGTCCGTCTCCTCCATCGTGATATTGTCCATTATACCATTTGCCACATGATGTAGTCTATAAGATGTCCTTCTTGCCTTGTCTTCCAGGTATATGTGCAAGCGGGGTACATTGAGAAGGACCTCCATAGCTGCAGTTGGTGCTGTACGAAAGGCACCAGTGACTTGGACAGTACTTTGTGCTGCCTTGCTTCACCAAGCTATAGATCCATAGGTTATCATAGGTCTAATGATCATGGTATAAAGCCAAAACGTTTGTTCAGGCTTCATTCCCCAGTTCTTTCCACAGACCCTTCGGCAGTTCCATAGCGAGATCCTTCGCTTCTTAAGGACTGCTTCCAGACGCGATTTCCAGTTTAGTGTTTTATCTAAGATTATTTCTAGATATTTCGCCTCTTTTGATAACGGTACATTTTCATCGTGGATTTGTTGGAGGTTTAATCCCATCCAGTTTTCTCTTTCTGGTGAAAGGTACGATGACCATTTTTTGCGGGTTGATTGATATTCCTTCCCCTTCGCATCAATCCGGTATTGCGGTTAACACCTAGAGTTTCCCGAGATATGTTCCCCAGATTTCCCTCCGACTAGGACTAGTAGAACTATCCTGTGTCCGATATTTTCAAGGAAAAACTCTGACAAGTTGAGCTAGCTTATGTCGCTTGATAAACTGTATTTCTAGCCCGACCATGTGTTACAAAATAGCATCAAGCAGGTTGGCTCTGCACTTCCCACGTAACGCTGCCATCAGTTCATAAAAATTACGGCCGGCCTCTTAGAAAAATAAGAAACGTGTATAACAAAGGAATCAATAATCAGAGTGAGTAAGCCGCCAGCTTCTGTTTTCGTTGAGCTTGGCATAGGCTTTAAAAATAATCTATTCCTGTCAAGCCTGAATCGCCAATATAAGGAAATCTATGTGTGACTTTCATATAATAGGTGCGATTATCCCTCCCTCATCCCTTGTAAGGGTAAGTTTTTATCCACTGGTGATTTTTAAAAAAACGAGCAGTGTCTCTGAAACGCCCAAAAACGAAATTCGAGGTTTTTTTTCTGTTTTTGCCTGTAGCTTCTTCGCGACTGAATGTATTTTTAAAATTACAAAGCTTCTTTAACCTCACCTTAGTGGTAACCATCGAAATCCGACTAGAACTTCTGAAGCTATAGGGGGATCAACGATTAGAGCTCTGATAGACAGACTGACGAAACGACGGAGATGAATGACATGATATTTCGCGACGTACATGTCACGTATCGTTCAAAAAACATAATAACTCATTATCGAAATTTTTCGTGATTACAATACTCCTCGTCAATTGCCGCGGGACGTAAAAATATTACCTACAACACGCAACTGACATCACATTTGCATTAAATGAGTGATGCCTGAAACTATTGTTTGCTACAAAAAATGCGAAATCGCTAAAAATAGGGTCGGCCTAGCTCCATAGGCGTCCACAGGAATTTTTCTCAGGCTGTGAAAGTGTATCAGCCCCCAAAGCTTCTTGAACAGGGGAGAGGGTAGCAGATTTTTCCAGGGGGATTCCAAATCCTTAAAATCCTTAAAAATTGTACGTGCTAAATACGCAAATTTTAAGATCCGACGGGATACCCAGAGGAGGGGTGTAACGGATCCTTCCCTTACGAGCGCTCATGGCCAGCTTTGCATTAAAGCGACGATCTGTAAAATAATAAAACTGGTATATCCATACGTTATCAACATAACGTACCCTGTTTGTTGACTATGATGAGATCCCATGTGGGGAGCATTTGGATGAATTTGGTGATTTCTGGAGTTCATGGCATCCATACTGGATATTGATGAGGAATTTGAGTCTTGGTTCATATAAGGTTCGTAGTGTGATCTCATGTTTGAAGGTGGTGACCTTAAATAATTAAATAAATAGATTAATAATTCATAAAATGAATCATTCATACGAGAATGAGAATTTTCTTTTACCCTAGAGGGTAACATGAATCATTCATACGAGAATGAGAATTTTCTTTTACCCTAGAGGGTAACATAGATTTGAAATATATGTACGAGGGGCGATGTCTATGCTCCTCCCTTGACCCCTTTGCAGATATGTGTTTGATTAATGTTGCTGACAGTGAAACAAGTGATTTTAGTAGGCTTTGTTATCAAATTTCAGGTCTATATTTCAAGCTGTTTTAACGTTGTGTGGTTTTTGGTTCATGTGTGCCAAGGACTTTAGTGGAAACGGATTCAGAGGAGCAAAAGGCTGTAACAAAATGGCTGCAAAAAATAACACTAAGGAAATTTTTTTTCAGTGTTAATTTTCTTAGCAGCAACAAATGTGAACCTCAATTTATTCCTAAAGTTTGATCGACCAAAGCAAAGTGACGTCTGTGTAGATAAAAGTAAACTTTTATTGTGAGTATATACAGGGTGTTAGTGAGATGATATTCGTAACTTTAGGCGGTGATTCCTTGCATTATTGTAAGCAAAACAGTTCATTATAACCTATGTCCCAAAATCAAGCGTTTCGGAGCAGAAAATTGCTGAACTTAATGATTTTTAGTCATGAAATCAATTAATTTTGCACCTTAATAATTTAAATTCATATGCCTAATAGCGTAAAATGTATCAATACATCTATCTATAAATTAACTTTCTCCAACAAAATAATGTTCCTGCTTATTAAATACAATTTTCCGAAGGAAAACAGACAAACAAAATCCCTCACACAACTGGAAACGTCGTACTCCGCCTACACTGTATGTATCGTCGCGTGTTGTTGTGATTACTAATACATTTAGCTGTAACTTTATGTGATTTGTGGATGTTGTTTTTTTTTCTTCTTTCGTGCATCGCATCGTTTCAAATAAGTGACTGATAATCGTGGGAATTGGTGGAGTGTATCGCCACGTACCGGTAAGTTATGTCATTTTTTTAAGTAAATGTACTGTACTGAAAGCGTTATTAAATAAAAAAATATTAGCCACAAATAATTGCGTAAAAGTATTCAATAATTCAACGCTGCGAAATGTTTGAGAAAATTTACTTATTTGCGACTCACTTTGCACTAATGCAAGGAATCACCTCTTTAGAGTTACGAATATCATTTCCTTAACACCCTGTAGAGCTGTAAAAGTCACGATCAACGTTACACATATGTACCCTTTTTCTTCTTGCTTTTTTGATTCAGCCCATATAGGATGAAAAATTCTTTTTCCGTAAATAATCATTGATCCTTTTTGATAATTTATTCCAGTCCTGTACAATGATTGGTTCCCGGGATATAGACTAATTAAAAATTCGATATCTCATCAAGAAATGGCCGGATCGACATTTTGAAAGAAGAAAATTGAAGCCTGTTTAATAGGATATTGAGCTCAGGTGGTAGTTTAGCGGGAAATGAGTTTTCAAAGTCGGTGGACCTAAACGAAGAAATAAAAAAATTGCATCTTTTTTTTCACTATTTTCTAGCATAGCGCTAAGTTTCAAATTCCCAGAAGTAGGTATCACAATTCAACTGTTATGCCAAAAGATTGCCTAAGATATTCGTATATCATTTTAGTATACCTAAAAAATATCTTACCGACAAGAACTACTGATTTCCGTTTTCGGCACCAAAAGCTGTTGTTCTTGACTGACGCTGCAACAGCTAGCGGTGGTGATCTCAGTTTTGGGTACCTTCATGGGATCCGGTTTGATAGGCTCCGCTTTTGGATAGTACTGATCGAAGTTAGGCTTCTGTTCCGTTGTACTACCAGGAGCATTACCGTAGTTCACTAGATAACTGGGTTTTACGTCTGCAGAGCTTGGTGATCTCTTGCCTCCTTCGTAGCTTGAGGAAAACTCGCTTTGGCAACCACCTTGGTGAAGATAAATAAATAAAATGAGGTTTATTGTGATGAAGGAAGAACGGGAATTAGATTAAAATGCCATAGGGGTAGTCTAACAGATAAAAATATTATCTTACATTGTTCCCATTAGTGTACAGGATAACAATTTAATATCAAAGGAAATATGCCGGGTGCACAAAAAAAAAACAAGGAGCATGTGCATATTTCCAAATTACTTAGATCTCTTCAGATTTTCTACAACTCCATGGCAATAAGAGTTATAAATAAATATGGAGCAAACATTTAATGAGCGACTAGTAGATTAAATTGATCACCTTGAAAAGCTAGTTTGAAAAATACATGATTAAAATGTGTTGTTTTGTATCAGTAAAAGTTACATACGAATCTTTTCAATCTACAAGCACCGTTAAAAGTGGTTAGGTGCTTGCAGGTAGAATGCAAAACTTCAACCTCTTCATGGACTGCCAATCCCAAATACGCCAGGATCATTTCTTATTGAGCTATATATACCAACTTCATTATCATTGAGTTCAGTTTTTAGAAGAAACATGCGGATACCGTTGGATATGTTGAGGACGACCTCACATTCTCGCTCTCTCAACTTAATCTTCTAGGTTATTCCCTATCAGAAGTTATGAATTAAAGCTCAACTCAGTATTAAGTGATTCTGATTTATTTGAAATAATTCTGCTGTCAATGAAGAGATTAAGACATTTTTTGAGGGAAGAGATTCTAAACAGGCTGTAAATTATGCAGCTTCACGTATACATTCTGCTTATAGAATATGTTAATCCATCTTCGAAAAGATGAGATTCTCCATAAATTGCAAAAGGACAGAATAGTTTTAGCGTTAGTTACTTTTTGGTACTACAAGTAGTTTAATTATTTGTTCGTCTTTTAAGATTCGGTACAACAACCTTTCAAATGGTCGTTTACTGAATTTTGGAAAAATATTCAGTTTACTCCAACCTCAAACGTAAATAATAAATAGCAAAATGCCATTACGAATTATTTGAATGTCCAAAATCTCTAACAGAATAATAATGAGTTAAATAAGCCACTTTCAGAATAGTTTGTTCAAGGAAAAGGTACCAAAATGTTTACCCCATTTTTAGGAAAACCTTGTATAAACTATATTGACAAAACATCCGCATACCATGTTGACCGAACCTTACCGCTAAAACAACTGGATGACGTACCAGGCGACTTGATTCTTTGCAAGCTAGACTGGTAACGTTGTTCCCTAGCAGATTGCTTATTGGCTGCTGCTACGGGACAACCGGATAGGCTTCTATGGGTGTTACGATTCGAACTAACGTGCCCTCTACCATTGCATCCAGGAGTGGGACATTTCAGGATCGTCTCGTACATTGCTAGGACTAACATTACCATAAACAGAATCTGTTAAGGCGCAATTCACTGTTTTGATATAACTTGGCTTACCGTACTCAACTTAAACTTATCTCTATTATTATCACAATATACAGTATGATTACACAAGTAGAAATATTTCGAGTGTGGAAAGTACATTAAATATAAGGCACAAATATTCTAGATATACGAGTAGTTCCTAAGATGTCACTTGTCGAAATTTGGGGTGTTTTGATCTTCTAAAGGATAAGACATGAATATTACCTAACTAACGTTGTAGTGAGTTGACATTGCTTTTCAGGTACCCCTTCTGCGTAATTACACTTCAGGTTACTTATAAATTAGAGTGAAAAAATATTTTATAAAGTAACGTAATTATTTAACTCTAGTATTTAACAGAAATCTTTTTGAAATATGAGAACTTCCGGCGAGTAAGACTGGTGTAGAATTATTTTGAAGTCTAACACATTTCCTGAGATCATACAATGTTCCGCTACGTAGATATATTTACTCTCGATTTTGTAAATGAAGCTGTACCCTAAAGGCATATTTTAGAACGCTTACTTTTGGAAACTTTTCGTATTTGTCATCAATGTACTTTTTACCCTAGAAACGTTGTAACTGTTTTGGAATCACGCTGTATAGATAATGATCCCAGGATCGCAACAGCATGCTACAGTAAGCCTCAGTATATCTTGTAGTGAATATATCCGTCAAAGTAGAATATGTCTAAAGCCCTTATATATTCGCTTAAGATCTAAATTAGAACTCATGTGAAAGAGTGATCGTTTGAATAATGATTTTATCGTAACACTGAAAAACATTACCAGCACAGGTTGATGAGCTTTTAGACTAAGTACTAGAAGAGCTTTATGCATATTACTTTATTGAGTATAATAACAAACTGTGTGTGAACACTTAGGGGATTAAAGAGCTAAACCAAATTGCGGGTAGAGAGAAAATAAAAACAAATCTTAGAAGACGTTCCAAATTATCAACCATTTGCATGATATTCTTCTTTCTTGAAAATATTTAAGAGACTTAACACATGCATATGGTCGTATACGATTTGAAGACAAGTTTTCTGATTCAGTCCATTCGATTGTGTTTATATAATTTCATGTCTTGTAAACACTCTTCATTTTATTCGTAATTTTATTAGTGACCGTACTACCATATCACATCCTGAACTCTTTATTCCGCATTGGTACTTTCAAGATAACCTAGTTCTTTAGCTCTTCATTTACCACTTTGATAGAAGTTTGTATATATGGCAACAAAAATTAATACCAATAAAATTAAAAATGTGTACATTTAATTTATTCAGTAAGGTTCAAGATGGTTTTGCTGCTAATAATTCTTGACCGCTATTGGTGACTAAGCTCTAGGTCTCCACTGATTGGCAATTTAAATCAAAAATTCTACACAAACTGTTATGAAAAACCATTAAATTGATTCATTCACGCCACCTTTGGAGCAATTTTCAAATTCATAGAAGCACAATGTATACAAAAACTTCAGATCGAATGGAAATATCTGAACACATGTCTATTCATTGAAACGAAAAGAGTTTCCACACACAGGTTTACATATTATACTCAACATGCTCTGAACTGATTCTGTTGGCGAGACGTGTGGAGATGTGGATATGGGTGCAAGAGGGTAAAACGGGTGTGGAGTGGTGGTGGTAGGAAGGATGCAACTCTACTAAAATAAAACGTATATGAAAAAACGATGCTCTCTACCCCGCCAAAATAAACAACTCAAGATTAATGAGAAATAAAAATTAAAGAAGCTTTAGGAGAAGGAAGAGATGCTAACGATGGATCTTATCTACAAGTTATTGATCACAAGCTTATGATACATACTCTTAGCATATTCAGTTGCTCATTTTGATTGGATTCTGATATCGTAAAGACTCCGAAATGCTATTGATAGTCAAACAGTAAGATATTAATCCGTTTTTATCTGAACATCCAGCTCCAAAAGCCAGAAGCTATGTTATCGAATGAATGTAGATAAGAAGTACTTTTTTGCTCAACTTTTTGAGTATGACTTCACTGATGATTGATCTATATTTTATCCTTTCATCTTTTGGAAGTCAATAACTTGTAGCACCTACAACGTACATACTAAATATTAAATACACACTACACGAAACAAAAGGATGGCCATACTTATTATCATTATAAAAAAAGGACTTACTTTCTGGTGTAACCTTATCCTTTCTGGGACATCCCGAAAGACTGATAAAGAAATACATTTTTACGTCATGTGGAAATATAAGTGAGCTACAGATAATCAATAACCAGATTACATCTTATTGATATTCAGTCGGCAAATGAAGTCATTGGTATGACAGCTTTTTCTTCATTCACAGTTGTCACAGTTCAAAAAAATACACGCTTGGAATATCCATTAGCAATGCGAGATAATCTTTACATTTTGGTAAAAAATAGGTATAAAATGCTTCTAAACAGGTGCTTCGTTGATGGATACATAGATATTTAGGCATCATGGAACGCGTTAGTGAATCCGATTAAGAATAATGAAGAATGCGAGTAATATTTGTTTAAGAAACAACTGGTTATTATATAAACCCTGTCGAATCGAAGGATGTTGAATGTGGAAGAACTCTGTACCTTCCCAAAATAATTAGTTGAAAATAATTTTAGCTTACCTCCTGTGATGTGAATAGAGTCCTGTCACATGTCCCTGTCCTGTGCAGCCAGGTGTCGGACATTTGCTTCCTTCTGTGGAGACCAGAGAAACAAAATCAGTCTCCTCATCTTCAACTATTGATTCAATTTAGGCGGGCTAGTATTTGATACTTCCAATCACACTACATCGTTATCAAGATTTGTTTATTTCACTACCCTATTTGTAGAAGGTGCCATTTTCAAGATAAAGCATTTTGTTATCCCTAAGTTTTGCAAATATCTTCGGGAGATTTGTCATCGATCCACGGCATATAAGTTACTTTTACTTTTGGTCATTTTTAGTCTATGAATTTAGACGCACATCCACCAATTTTTGAACGTTGGATAGGTGTAATACAACTCGTCATTTTTTTAATTATCGAATCAACCTGAAGGATAGGTCTAAGCATTGCGGCTAAATCGTTGGAGTTAGAAAATATGCTTTTTTTCAAAGAATTATCTGGAATAATGTCCATCTTCATCCAAAATGTCTAAAGCTAATACCATGAAAGGTCAAACACTGAGTTGTTTCGAATAGTCCCTCTTGGCTTTGGGTTATTCTGTTTAGTTTACACACATTGCACAATAGTTGCATGAAATGTTTAAATATAGACGCTTTTTAGCTTGCGATGTGATAAGTCATTCTTTCTCACAAAGTACATCGAATAGCGTTGATTTTATGGGACTTCGTTATTATTTAAGCATAAAATCGCGTGCAGGGTTTGTCCGGAAAGTAATAGGACTGAGTCGATTTAAAAAAAATTTATTGAGCCAATTGTTATAATTCTTCAAAAACTTTCAAAATAGGCTCCTTCTGCGTCGATGCAGCGCTGCCAGTACGATTTCCAAGCATTGAAGGCGTCACGGAAGGCATTCTCCGGAATAGCCTTGAGAGGGGGGGGCACATCTGGGCTGTAGAGCGGCTGCGGAAGCTTTGGGATGCCGGCCTTGGTCAGGTAGCTGTTCACAAGAAAGGCGGTGTGAGCGGAGGCGTTGTCGTGGTGCCACTTCCAGTCAGCTGCGATGTCTTGTCGGACCCGACTGACCCTTCGTTTCAGTCTCCTGAGCACTTCCACGTAAAACATGGCGTTGACGGTGTGTCCAGGAGGTACAAATTCATGGTGGACAATGCCTTTGATGCCAAAAAAGAGAATGAGCATCGTTTTCACTTTGGATTTGCTCATTCTTCCCTTTTTTGGGCGAGGAGACGCCGTACGTTATTAAAAAATTGGGGGTCACTTTCACACATGTTCAAATTTTCTTGGCACACTTCCACTCGCCGCAATTTCTGGTCGTCAGTGAGCACTTTTGGGACCATCTTCGCGCACTCCTTGCACATGTTCAAATGCTGTGTCACAATGTCACGAACCACAGATTTTGGTAAATTCAACATCTGGGCAATGAAACGAATACTTAGTCGACGGTCTGAGTGCAAAACTTTGCGCACACGAGTCACATTATCGGTGTTTGTCGAAGTTGAAGGTCTTCCAGCACGGTCTTCATCAGCGACCTCTTCCTGGCCCTCCAAAAAAGGCCTGGTGCCACCGAAACACACCACTTCTTGCTAAACCAACACCTGGGTAAGCGTGCTTGATCATATCAAACGTCTCTGTCGCAGATTTACCGAGTTTCACACAGAATTTAATCGCGTACCTCTGCTCTAACGAACGCTGCATTTTCGGCTTGCACCACTCACAGAAACACGTCGCGCGAAAATGCCCGTCCTGACGCTCCAAGTGCTCGGAGACAACTGACCGGCCGCTCATACGTTAGCTAGGAACGCCCTCTACCGAATTCAGTCGGTGTGCACCCGCTCCGAAGTACAGTCATGGTGGCAGAAAATGAGTCCTATCACTTTCCGGACAATCCCTGTATGTTTTAATTTATTTTAGCAATGTATATCGCTTTTGTATTTCCCATTCTACTTACTGTTGTTGAGAGCTTTTATATTACTTTTGATGTAGTTGACTCTCATATTCTCTTAAAATGTGTCAGCTTTCATTGAAGTCTTGTTCGGGGTTTGTAAAGGAATATATCCCAGAACCGTTCTGATTCTGCGCAATACATTCTCGTGATTTCAGAGCCGAATTCCGTTTGGCTAGTGGTAGATAGTTTAAAACTGACTTGAGATAGCTCCCTTTATATACCCGAATGGAGCGCAATAGAAATCTAATTTGGTTAAGAAAGCATCCATGAATGAACTTATTTGGATCCTATAGCTTAGTTCAATGGTACACATTTGGAAATCTATTCTAGCTTAATCATCTGTCACATGACTGGTTTGAGCAATTTGTTACACTACCCCGATAATTTACGAACGCCAAGGTCCCTACTGGCCTCACTACGACTACTATTCCCGCCTATATTTTGAATCTCGATTGTTGATGCATACATCGAGCAACGCTCAAACATTTTATTTCAATTCCAAAAAATAGTGCATGAAGATTGACTCCATACTTTCCATACAACGCTGTCACCAGTTCGTAAAAAATTAAGTTTGACAATAGTCTTTTTTGGAAAACATCAAGTAAGCTAGTCAAGTAAGCATCAGTGTTAAGGCCCCTGCCATTTGACAACCTTGCGATTTAGGAATATTTCCTCTGCCGTACCGACAATACAACAATGTTGCGATGAATAATCTGCCAGAGGCAGTCATTAGCTCGCGTCAGGATCATCTTCTACTTTAGTTGTGCTCGACGCGGTATTCGAAAATATACTAAGTGACATATAAATCCGAACACCCAGTTTAAATGGTTTTATTTTAATAAAAATTTGTATAAGTACTTAATGAAGCATAATAAGTAAATGATAAAAATTTCAAAATGATTGCACTGCTTTAAAGCCCTTTGACCTTTAATAATGTGTGGATGCACCATGATATGCTACGCATTCTCCAGCGCGCCTAGGCATGCTTCTGATCAGGTGGTCAATGTCCTCCTGTGGTATCTCATTTCAGGCAACCACCAACTCCTCTCGAAGTGCTTCTAGAGTCTGAGGAGGACGTTGCAAATTGAGCAATCTGCTACCCATCATATCCCACACGTGCTCAATTGGGGATAAGTCGGAAGATCTTGGTGGCCATGGTAACAATGTGACATCATTATGTTGAAAGAAGTCTATTGTGACTCTTGCAACATGTGGTCGGGCATGATCTTGTTGGAAAGTTGGATCTGCCAGGGTGTCAAGATAGGGTGAAAGATGTTGTTCTAGAACTTCGTGGATATAACGCTGCGCGTTCATGTTACCTCTGATGAAGATTAAAGGTGACCTGGAACCATAAGCTATAGCACCCCAAACCATAACTCCAACAGTGTGATGAACATGTCTTTCAACAAAAAACTGTGGATTCCTCCTTTCACCACGTCGCCTTCTAACCCTGGCACGACCATCGTGCATGCCTAAACAAAATCGAGACTCGTCACTAAAGACAATACTGTTCCATTCCTGATCCCAGAGTGACCGTTGTCTGCACCACTCAAGGCGATTACGTCGGTGTTCTCGAGTTAAAGGGAGGACCCAGTGTGGCCGGTATGAAAACAAGCCAAAACTTCTCATTCGTCGGTAAACACTTCGCATGCCAATAGGTCTTCCGTGTTCTGCAAACCATTCATTTGCAATGGACCTGGTAGTGGAGAAACGGTCCCTTAAGGCCAATAATTTTTAGGCGGCGATCTTCACGGTCTGTTGTTCTACGGCGGCGTCCAGTGCCCCTTGCTCTTTGCGTATGGCCTTCTCGAAGCCATGCCTGACAACACCTAACCACAGTGTCTACACTTCTTTGCACTCTAACTGCAATTGCCCGAAAAGAAAGTCCAGCTTCCTGAAGTCCCACTATACGGCCCCTATCAAGCTCACTAAGTTGACGAAATCGTACAGGTCTCCGTACTCTAGGCATCGTAACCGATCGTAAAGGATGTCAAGAACCAAAATCCGCCAACGTTGATTCTTTACTGCGGCTGAAATATTCATTTTTAGAGCGTTAGTGAATTAAAAAAAAGCAGTATAAAAACCGGAATGTCCAACTGATAAGGCTGAAAATTTTTTCACTTGTTATTTACAGTAAGATAAATACATTCACCAACTTTTATTAAAATAAAACCATTTAAACTGGGTGTTCGGTATATTTAATTCACTCTAAGCCTCAAGGGCAAATATACGGAAAAATTTATGTTCGAATATGCTTAACAGGCTTATATAATTATCTGGGCTAGAAGAATATAAATAGATTAATTTTATACTCCTCCAAGAAAACTCAAAAATGAACAGGAATCTCTGATTTGTGCCGGTAACTCTAATGCGACTGGAAGCGTTTTCAAAACTTGCAATATATTTTCGTTTCTGACATAGTTGCAGTAATCGGCGCATTGTATACATCATGTAACATATTATATACCATTATATACGTATTCATATTCGTGTAGACAAATAACAGTTGAATTATGTTGCTTGCATATATGCAACACGAATAAGTGATTTTTGAATAATTAGAAGAGGTATATAGATCTCCATTAGTTATACGAACAAAGCTATAGTTTTGAATAAATTGGGAAAATAAAATAATGTAACCCCGTTATCTGTCAAGTTTCCTTATTTCTTCTTAATATTTTTTCTGACTTGATTTGTGCTCATATCAGGCAAGTTGAAATCGGCAAAACAGCACGTCGCTCGCCTACGACAAAAGTTAGCTTACCTCTCCGATTTTGAGCGACATAAATTATGCAACTTTCTTTTAACAGATACAGCCCTCAGCCCTTCTTCCATTTTCGAACAAAATGAAGCCTTACTTTTTAGCGAACCCAACCATATTCTTCAGTTGCCGGTTGTGTTTTTTGGATTAGTTACGATAAATGAGCCAAAAGTTTAAGAACACAATATGAACCCAACTAACATTAGCAGCTTTGTTAATAAATGGAGAAACAGCTAAAATGGAAAGCTAGCCTCAAATACTATGTATCATATGTTTTGTTCAAGTGTGTACGGAAAGTTATCTAAGAGCTACTACAATTATTGTTAAAGCTTGACATGGTTTTTGGCGGTTACGTCATCAATGCCAT